ACCATGTCGCCAGAATTTTGGTAATTAACGAGTCCATCCATTTGAAGGTTCGAGCTCCTCCTTTTCTCTCTCTCTCTCTCTCTCTCTTTGAATAATTATTGTTTTTCTTCATTGATGGATTTACAAAAGTTGCACACATTATTATATTTTATTAGGAGTCTTCAAACAACTGACACATTCGAATGGCAAAGACTTGTCGCACTGTTCGCTTCAAGGTTAGTGTCTCTTTAATTACCACTCTCTCTTAATCCGAATACAATGTAGCTGTAATGTAGGTTATTATTATTAAGGCTTGTTAGCAACTGAAAAACTTTTCAAAACTTATTAGTAAGACTTGTTAGCGCAACTGTAATTATAAAACTTTTTTAACAGCTGAAAAAATAAAAATTATTGTAGGATTAATTTTATGAAACTAAGTGACTTATGTAAGAGTGAAAATAGACAGAACATGACATCCTGTCTTTTTGATCGTTGGCGATGAGCATGTTCGACTTATTTTTCACTGTTATTACAAATCACTTTGTTTCTAAATTGATTTGACACTAAAATTTCTCACTCCATCCAAAACCCCAAACTTTTTAAAAGACTCTTTACAAACTTTAAAAATGATATAATTGTCAAATTATACGAAACAAAGTGAATTGTGGTGTCTTTGATCGTTAGAGATGAACTTATTTTTTATTATTATCACTCGATTACTAAATTGATTTGACAATAAAATTTCTCACTCATCCATCCAAACCCCAAATTTTAAAAGAATCTCTTTATATTCATAAACCATAAAAAAGATATTATTTTGTCGAATTAATTATACGAAATAAAGTGAATCGTAGAATAGTAGTGAAAATAGATAGAGCGTGACATCCCATCTTTGATCGTTAGAGATGAGCATGTTCAACTTATTTTTTTACTATATTATACTCAGATTCCTAAACTGATTTGACAAAATTGATTCCTAAATCCATCCAAAACCCCAAACTTTTTAAAAGACTCTTTATACAAATTTCCAAACCATAAAAACAAGGGAAACTTACTAGATTGACCCAAATAATGACTTTAATTATTAGAATGTCTCATAAAATATGGGGGTTAGACTGGTTATTTTTATGACGATAATACCCTTGCTCTCTTTGTTAAGAAAAAAAAAGAAGTCAAATTTACCCCTAAAATTTTTCGAAAAACGTCATAAAAAGTCTTAAGTTTGCTGGGTTCGTTATGACAGATTTATTTTAAATGGCAGACTTATTTATCAACGACAGATTTTTTGTGACAGATTTTTTATCTCTCACAGACTTATTTTAACAGGTTGTGGCAGACTTAAGTTAACACCACAGACTTTCATCACTTTGACAGATTTATTAAAATTAGTGGCAGATTTATGTTCCTAGTGGCCTCAGACTTTAAATTTTCATAAAAATATCTGTCATCAAGTGACAGATTTGTTTTTGGAGAAATAATTACCTCTAATTACTAGAATGACTTAGTAGTGATAACAGATTTTATTTATGTTATGACAGTTTTTTTTGTTTTAAAAAAAAAACTGTCAAGTGATAGCAGATTTGTCATTAAAAAAAAAAATGGCTAGATTGACTTACAATCGCAAATGAAATATTTCTGTGATGACAGATTTTATTTACATTATGACAGATTTAGGATTAATTCAAAGAAAACTGTCACATTACGACAGATTTAGTGATGAAAAAAGAAATTGCTGGAATGACTTCGTATAGTGATGACAGATATGTTTTATGCAATGACAGATTTTAATTTTTATTCATGTTATGACAGATTTTTTATACATATTTGATGACAGACGTTTCATGATGGACTACAGACAGACTTTTTAAACACGACAGACTTTTTTGTTTTGAATTTCCATAACTGAAAAATAATAAATGACGAGATAATCTAACTTACCTTATTTTCCTAGGATTTTGGGCTATCCTAACCGTTTCTCTACCTCTTGGACGACAGCCAACAAAAGTTCATACAAATAAACCGTTTCTCTATCTCGTTTCTCTATCTATCGTTTCTCTAGGGTTTTTGAAATTCACCATGATGTCTCAAAAGAAAGGGTTGGAGATGGATCCGGTGATTCTCGTATGTGGCAAATGGATTTTCGAGAATAACACATGGTCGTTCATCATTGATACAAATAGAGGATGTCGAGTTCTGGAAGCTAATAGGGAAACCAGTTACTCTCAATGCATTCGAATGGTAATGGAGGATTACGGAATCGAGAATAGAGGCTGTGATGTTGTGTTGAGTTACAAGATTTCGAAGATGTTGTCTCAGAATTTACCGGATGATACACCACCCGTTTTTATTACTAATTCAAGACAGTTTCACTCTTTTTTGGGGCAATTGAAGAGCGATACAATTCGACTTTGTGTTGAAGTGAAGAAGAAAGTTACAATTGAAGCTAATCAATCCAACACCGATGGCATCGTTGATAGTACCTTGCAGAGAAAACGAACAAGAATTGCCAACGAGTTGGTTAAGGAAGTTACGGATTTGATTAATGAAGCTGTTGGTGATGACGGCGATGACGATGAAGAAACGAGATTTGATTACTGTGACGACTCTGACGGAACAGATTCTGATGATGAGAATTATAGCTTGTATGGGATTCCACCAGTTGTAGAAGAAAAACAAATACTGCCGTTGAAGAAAAAGAGTTCAGGTATCTATATTGAAGAACAAAAAGATGATGATTATTATGCAAAGTTTCAATTGCCTTCTGTGGATTTGGCTGTTGGACAGTGTTACGAATCAAAAGAACACTTGGAAACACGACTGAAGATACTAACCGTAGTACAGAGATTCGATTTCTACGTAGACAAATCGACACCTTTTCTTTTGATTGTCAAGTGCTGGATAAAAGGGTGTACGTGGAGGGTACGAGCTACGACACAAAGAGACTACCCAAAGTTTCATATTCGTGTTTTTATTTCTGAACACTCATGTTCAGTAACAGAGCGTTCTGCACGTGCCCGTCAAGCAACTCATGATATTCTTGGAGTATTATACAAGGATTTTGTTGGTGGAATTGGCCCCAAAGTATTGCCAATGCATGTTGCTGAATCATTGAAGAAACGTTTTCAGATCAAGGTACAATACAAATTTTAATAATTTTTGGCGTTTTAAAACAAAAAGTTTTTAATGTTTAACAGAAACAGTAATTTTTTCTTAATAGATGGATTATTGGAAGGCTTATAGGACGCTGAGGTATGCGCGAGAATTGGTAAGAGGAAGTCCAGAGAGTGGTTATGAGCAACTACCTACTTACTTGTACATGTTAAGAAGGGCTAATCCGGGGACATTGACGAGACTTGAAGTTGATGAAGAAAAAAGATTTAAGTACATGTTTCTAGCCTTTGGTGCAAGCATGCTTGGATTTCCATTCATGAGGAAAGTGGTGGTTGTTGATGGTACTTTTCTACAGGGAAAACACAAAGGGACACTTCTTACAGCAACAGCTCAAGATGGTAATTTTCAGATTTTTCCGATTGCTTTTGCTGTGGTTGATACAGAAAATGATGAATCTTGGGAATGGTTTTTCAAGCAACTGAGCTGTGTCATACCAGATGATGAGGGCCTAGCCATTATTTCAGATAGGCACAAATCAATTGCGAAAGCAATCAAGGTGGTTTATCCGAAGGCGAGTAGAGGAATTTGTACATACCATCTGTACAAAAATATATTGGTCCGTTTTAAAGGTAAAGAAACATTTGGATTGGTTAAGAAGGCTGCGAATGCATTCAGACAGGTAGATTTTCAAACCATATTCCATCAGATAGAAGTGGCAAATCCTGAACTACATGCATATCTAGATAGGGCTGATGTGCGACTTTGGACACGTGTACATTTCCCCGGTGATAGGTATAACTTGCTTACAAGTAATATTGCGGAATCAATGAATAATGTGATGTCACACGCCAGGAGTTTTCCTATTACACAGTTGTTAGAAGAAATAAGGTCCATGATGACTAAATGGTTATCAGATCGGCGGAGTGATGCATTAAAAATGACTACATCTTTGACACGTGGTGTCGAGAAAATTCTGCAGGTATATTCTCATACTTTCAATCAATGTCAGTTAAACAAGTATATTTGTTTCACTATTAATAATGTTATTCATTTTTACAGAGCCGCGTTGACTATGCGAAGTTACTTGCTGTGCAAGATATAGATGCACAACAAGTACAAGTGACAAGTGCAACATCTCTCCACGTTGTAAATTTGGTCGATAAAAAGTGTACATGTTGCAGGTTTGATGTGGAGAAATTGCCATGTGCACACGCAATTGCGGCGGCTGAGAACAGGAAAGTCTCTCGAATTTCAATGTGCCATTCGTATTATCACAAGAACTATCTTTACAATTCCTATGCTAACGCCATCATGCCAAGGGAGTTTGCTATACCTGTTCCTGAACATGTAGCAACAACGGTTTGTTTACCACCCATACCCAAACAACAACCGGGAAGGCCAAAGAATTCGAGAATTAAGTCAGCATTGGAGATTGCTATGGAAATGAAAAAGCCAAGAAAATTATACACTTGTGGCAATTGCAATCAAGTTGGTCATAATCGTAAGACTTGTAATCTTCAAGTTTAATTTCTTTTTTCGTCATTGACTAGTTATTGTGGTGTAAGTCTACAGTTGAATTCTTTATCTTTTTCATATAATACTTTGGTTAAATTTTGATAGATTATGTTTGTCATGAAACGTTTGAAAGATTATGAATCTTCCATATTCTTTTCATCTGCTCTTGATAGTTTTTTGAAGATATTAAAAGTATGGAACGTTGGTAAGGTAATTGACAAGGCTGAATGATGGCAAAAGTCTAGATCCCCCGTTATTTCTGTATAAATCAATACAGAAGCACTAAAAGTCTGAAAATAAGCATGAAAAAGTCTGAAACAAGGTGACACTGTTTTAAATCCTAGAAATAAAGAACAAAAGACCTATAAGTACGAGATTACATAAATCAAAGTCACTCATTCGATGGACTCGTCTATGAGACTAGGGATCTTGAAACCTACACCACAAAGATCAAGATTAGATGGTTTGGATGTCTCTCTCACTTCATCAAATAGCTCCGCTGCAAGTTTAACACGTATGGCATTTATGTTTTCATCGCAAAGCCCATCGAATGATTTCCCAAGAGCCAAACACTCGATGTATTTGAGTGTGTAGATAGCACAATCGCCGGGATCTTTATTCAAAGGTACCTTCTTTGTAATCTTTTTCACGTCCAACATTGCATTACTCTTCTTACGTATGTTGATAGGTACGAAAGCACTCATCATGGCAGGGATCATCAACCGTAAAAACATGCATTGTTTCGCCATTTCAGGATCAGTGGTCAAGTGTGGGATGCTATCGTAGATGTTAATCCTCCTCACACGCAAGTCAATATCAAGAGCAACCCAATGATCACCATTGATAAAGAGGCAAGCATAAAGATGATCAACATCGATGAACCACTTCTTGTAAGTAGCTGATTCAGTAGGAGCTGTCCCGTTGAGGTGTTCCTCAAAATAGTCCCTGAACTTGAAGCTCCTACGTCCTCCAGAAAAGTGCTCATAATCTCTAGCCAGCTCCCTCATCATGTCTTGGTCCAAGAAAGTTATTCGTTGATTTGGGTACGCTGAAGGCTTACGCATCAACCTTTTGCGGAACATAGCCATCGTAGCACCCATATGCTACATTAAAATGAAAACCGATTAGAATAAAAAAAAAAACCTGAAACGATTAAACTAAACTCTTAATCTTAGATGACTTACATAATCTTTCAACCATCCATATGTTTCGTATGGCCACTCTGCTCTTGGAGTGATAATTTGCCTATAGAATCTCATATCTCCATTAGTAGTGTTAAGAAAGTCTTCCCTGAAAATCAATACATAAGAGTGATTACAATGACAAAAGATGGCTTTATGAAATTGGAAGATAAATTAATTGTCCAGTCTTACTCGTCATCTGTCTCTAGGAAATCAAACAGTTGATGAATTTTCTCGTCAGAAACATGCATCATGTGATCAGGTATCGAGGAAGAAGGTTCTCCATCCGTAATGATGCGCTTCACTGTAGAGTTACCAAGAAACGGGTACTTTTGAGAGCCAGCCAACTGTGGCACTCTTTTTCCCACAGTAACACCCTCATCTAGATCCTTTAACTTCTCTACCATTACTGTCAATGTTGCATCAAGTTCCTTATTAGCTTTCTGCAGTCCAGGATCCGAGTATGTGTCTTCTGAACTTGAAACCATTTTCAGAGCTTCTTCTTCAACTTTGTCAGTGATATCTACAACATCGTCTTCTTGGGTAGTAGATTTCTTCTTCATCTTATTACCAGCCTTAGAACCGTCTTTCTTAACAGCCTCTTTCTTCACCACAACCTTCAAACCCTGGTTCTTAGCAGCTTTTTCTTTGACTGCAGCTTTAACCGGAGGCTTTGCGACTCCTCTCTTGGCAGCCTTTGTAGCTTCTTCTTTCAGCGGAGCCTTTTCAGACTTTTTCCTCTCAGCCTTTGAACCATCTTTCTTTTCAATTAAGAGAAGATCTCCAGATGTTTCACCTTCTTTCTTTACTTTCTTCTGAACAGTATAAGTTTTCTTCACCACTCTTTGAACAGGCAAACCATTCACTGAAGATGGCTTCTCCTCTACTTTCCAAGACTGCAAAAAAAATAATAAACGTTATCACAACAGTATTTTCATTCACCATTTTGCCTAATAAGATCAACAACTTTAAAACTCACCAAACTATAACTTGCAGGAGATTTACTCGATGCACCTTCATCTTCATTGTTGATGGAATTGGCGACTTGGGCAGTAGGTATTGAAGCTGGTTTTGCTTGTTTCAGTTCCTTCAAATCAGTCTCGACTGATACAATCCTTGAGTCAAAGGTATTCTCCAAGTCATCGATCCTACTACTCAGATTCTTACCCATGTCTACAATACTCCCATTCATTTTTTCCATCATCAATAAAATATCAGAGAAGCCTTTCTTGTCATCCTTATCAACCTATATTCAGTAAGATATTCAGATTTAAAAGAAAAAATTTGAAGCACAATAAGTACATTACTATAAAACACAACTAATCAGGAATATGCATGAAAACATAACCTGTATATCTTCTGAGACTATCTTCTCGTCTTCTTTTTGAATTTTGACTCTTTCTTCGCCAGAAAATTCAGCCTTTTTGATCTTTTTCCCCTTCCGTGTGATACTACCTTCTTCATCAACAGTAGCTTTTACTTTGCGTTTCTTCTTAGACACACCAAAAGCTGGCACACCTTTCCAAGCATCTAAAGCCAATCGATTATGGATGATGTCTTTTATCAAGTTGTCTAGTGCTGGATCCTTATCCTCCTCCGCATTACTCCATTGTGGGTACATGTTTTCTTCAGTTACAGGAATCATGTGTCTTACACGCACCTATATACAACATACAAAATGTTAAATAAAACAGCACCACCAATGAAATAAAAACTGCAGTTTAAATTAATAGGTTAGTGTTGCCATGACACTTAAAAAAAAATAAGACTGCACCTTAAGTTTGTGTAAAACAGTCATAACACTTCAATAAAATCATATTCTAAATTTCACATTGTAGAGAAAGTACATGAAAAAGACACATAAAGAAGTTATTGCTTTGATACATAAAGACACAACATTTAAAAGATCAAAAACTAACTTGCTCATGCAGCTTCTTCTCGTTTTTAATGAATTCTGTTAGGTCGATATCCTTCCGAGTTGACTGCCAATCAAGAAGTGGAATACCAGTCAAGATAGGCCTTCTCAACCCATAACCCTCTCCTAATCCAGGGAAACTCTCATACACCCACATAAGCAAAGCGTGAACGCATCCTTTAATAACATAACCATCTTTGTTAAAGTCAACTGTCTTAACCGATTTAAGTAGACATTCAAAAGCCACTCGTCCCCACGGATATTTCTCAAAACTCACTGGATCAAGAACTCTTATAGCACTAGACAAAGGAAATCTAGATCCGTGGTGCACTCCATGTATTGCCACTGATAATAAACACAACCTACCCACCATCATCCTCTCCTTTAAGTCCCATGCCTTGCTAAGATCCATCACAGTTCGCAACTCATTGAACTTTAGACCTTCTGAGATTGGTACTTTCATTGCCTCCCATAGCTCACGGTGATCAGCTTCAAACTTTTCCGACGGGTCAAATGGATCGCAATTCAGTCCTGTTATAGCAGCAAACTCATTTAAGGAGAACCGGACTGGTCTACCATCAATCATAGACCATATCTCATGAAAATTATCCACTTTCAACTGATTTGTGAGGAATAGATGTACTTTCTTGGCAGCCCATGTGTACTCTAGTTCAGCTAGTTTGATAAACACACCTAGTGATGATTTCTCCAATTCATCCCACACATCAATACCTAATCCTTCTCTGATTTGACCAATCTTGGACAGATAACAATTGTGGTTCATGCTTCTATGTTGCAAAGGTGATTTTCCTTCTGCATATAGACGAGGAGGATATTTGAAGACATTACTCGAAGACGCCATTCCTGAAGATAATCAAAATAATAAATCAGCATATAAGAGGATTAATACAATTAGCTAATAAACAATTTAAAACAAATCTGATGCAAAACAAATTAATACCAAAAGAGAATAAAGTGTTAAAACCTGTAGAATATTATGATTTATAACACAAGTGGTTACTGGTTTTTAGCACAACAAGACACTCGAGCATTATATAAGAAACAAAGTAAGCTACTGCCTAATATCTATGCATTTCATCAACTCCTACCCAAAGTTCTCTAGAAAGAATGTCTGAACACAATAAAAAGCAAAGCACAACTCTAATAAGCATAATATAAACGACATAGTCTCAAGTTCAAACCAAGACCAGAGAAGTCATAGACTCAAGTTAACATTATTCTAGCTGAAGAAAAGCAAGCAAAAGACAATTCATAGACAGAGAAGAACAAAACAAATTCTGCTCAAGGACCATAAAAGACACAGAGAGATCCACACAACATCCATACTCCACACAAATGTTACTGGTTTCCAACACAAAAGAAAGAATTTCAAAGCAAGCTAATGCTTAATGTTTATGGCTTCCTTCAAGCAAAGCAACTCCACTAAAATAAGACCCAAAGTTCTCTGTAGAGGATGACAATTAGATGATTGAAAACGCAAAGCACAACTCTAATAAGCATAATATAAACGCCATAGTCTCAACTTCAAACCAAGACCAGAGAGAAGTTATTACCAGTAGAGCGATTAGAAGATGCTCCTTGATCCGCTGAGATTTGGAAAATAAAAGTTGATTTAGAAACTACTGCATTATTACTTGAGAAAATCGCTTGATAAGAAGATTTGACTAAAAATTACTAATAGTATACAAGACACAATGAAATCTGAAACTGTTAGAAACTAATGCATTAATCCAAAAAATGTGTCACGCACATTGGAAAAGCTGTCACTAAATCTCTAACATTGGAAATATAACAGTGGCTATAACAATCAGTTTTCATATGAAGCTCAATAGTTTCAGCTATTAAACTTTTAGCAGATAAGAGGATCAATATAATCAGCTTAAAAATTATGCCAAAACATTAACAAAAATCATGAATCAGACAAGGCTTCTTCAATAACACAAGCAGTGCAGACAACTTTATTTAACTCGAGAATCGATAAAAACAATATCTTAAAGCAGCGGAGAATCAGACCTAAGATTGATTTCCCTTGTTGCTTGAACTTGAACCTACAAAGAGAGATGCCACGAAGAAATAAGAAACGGATCGTGTTCTCCTAAGAAAATATGAAAAGTTAGGGTTTTAGAGAATCAATCAAAATTGCAATTCACACAAATAATTTCAACAGTGAAAAATTAAACTAACCAATTGTCAATTGAGCATAAAGACGTTGTCGATGGAGGAAGAACGGTAAAGGTGATGGCCAATAGCTCTGATTACACCGGAAAATCGAATGAACAGATGATTATAGGACGCGACCTTGCAAATCAGAAACACAGAGAATCAAGCGGCGGTGGCAAATGAAGATTAGGGTTTAGGGGAAACGCCGGAGACTTCGGGAAGACATGGAAGTAGCCGAAGACGCCGGAGAATCAGAAAAATTGGCGGCGGGTTCTCCTCGAATCTGCAGTGGAGGTACTCAAGTTGCGGCGGCGTCTGTGAGAGTGGCGGTGAAGGAGTACGCGAAGTGCAGATTCTTCTCTTCGTCGGAGACGGCGAAGACAATTGGAGTCAGATTCTTCTCTTCGTCGGAGTCGGGTGAAACAGAGAAAAAAGTTAGGGATTGTGTTTGTCGGGTTCAACAGATAAAAAAGAAGCTTTAAGTCTACAATAAAAAAAAATTATGGTTAATGTTTTTGTGTTTTTTTTTTGTTTTTCTGTTTGTGTTTTTTTTTTCAAGCAATTCAAAAGGGTTTTAGTAATTTAACACAAAATTTGTGTTATTCTAGTAAACTCCAAAACTAGAGTGTTAATCTTCTTCTTCTTCTTCTTCTTCTTCTTCTTTTCTGCATCTCCTTCACCAGATTCAACACCCTCACTGTTGATCACATCCTTGACATTGTGGATTTTCTGCCTCTTTGCGGGAGATTCAGAGTCACCCGCTGCATTAGAATTTACATTTTTCTTCTTCTTCTCAGTCTTCTTCACATCCCAATAACCTTTAACAAACTTATCCTCATGTATGTCTCGGATCAAATTATCAAGTGCTGGGTCCTATTCTTCATCTGGCCACGTATGAAATAGCTCTCTGACATCATCCTTCATAACCAATTTACTCACACGCAGCTATAACATAAGAGATTATAAAACCCATTAGTAAGTTTAAACTGAATCATCAATAATTATAACTCAGCCATCACTAACAATCACTAAATATAACTCAGCCATCCATAAATCATAACTCAGTCATCAAAAACGATAACTTAGCCATCACAAAATTTAACTCAGCCATTACTAAAATATAACTCAGTTAGTAACTATCATAACTCAGTCATCAAAAACGATAACTCAGCCATCACAAAATATAACTCAGCCATTACTAAAACATAACTCAGTCAGTAACTATCATAACTTAGTCAGTAACTTTCATAACACAGCCAAAACCTTACCTCACCATGCGCTTTGATATCTTCAGCAATGGTCAATTCCATTGTTTTACGTGTACGGTTTCCACCCCAACGAAGCAACGGTATCTCATCCTTGTTGACTACTCTCCCATATCGCTCTCCAAAGCATTTGACTGAATCATACGCCAAAGCCTGTAACACGTAAACCATACCACTGACGGTGTACGTCTTTCCAACAGGCCTCAACATCTTTATAGAATTAACCAGGGCTTTAAATGCTGACCGACCCCATGGATAAGTGTTCATGGAGTCCTCATCAAAACCTCTTTTCGCACTCTCAAATGGTATTCTAGAGTTATGATGCAAGCCATACAGTCCAATGGCTTGAAGAGTCAACAGCCCCAACCACTTACGCTTTTCAGGAGTCCATGTCATGCACACTAGTAATCCTGCCCTCAGTTCATCTAACTTTGGACCTTCACCACCAGGCACATTCAATTCACTGAAGAACGCTTTATAGTCAGCTTTAGGTTCAAACTTTTCTGTAGGGATTGAACCTGTGTTTAACCCCGTGATATGACCAAATTCGTTCAAGCCAAACCTGATAGGTTGACCACCAACTAGAAACCAAATCTCCTTCTTGTGTATTCTTAACTGTCTACACAGTAGAAAATGTTCAGTCTTACCAGACCACACGAATTGGCTTTCAGCTAGCTTAGCAATTATTCCAATAGGTGACCCCTTCAGTTCATTCCACGCATCTTGTCCTATTGATTCTATAATCACAGGGACATCTCCCATCTTGATATTGTGATTTAACAATTTATTCTCCAGAATAGACTCCCCTTCTGCGTAAAGTCTTGGAGGGTAATCCCTTGGTTGTTCTTCAGAAATAACCTTAGCCATCTGATAAACCATAAATCAGCCGTAAGCATACAGTAACTCAGTCACAACATAAAACAAACTCAGCCACAGTTGAGCAGATAAACCATAACTCAGTCGTAAGCATAGAGTAACTCAGCCACAACGTAAAACAAACTCAGCCACACCATAAAACAAACTCAGCCATAGATGCATTGATAAATCATAAATCAGTCTAAAGCAATCAATAACTCAGCCATGGAATCGAATAGATATAACAAATTAGCCACCATATGAAAATCAACGTTGGCGAAAATCAGCTGTAATAAGCGTCGATAAAAACCCTCAATTTCTTCGCGATAGTTTTTGGAAAACGGTTTCAATCACGGAAATCACTCGCTATTAAACTTAGATGCGGGAAAAATGTCGGAAAATCCAAAATAAAGATTCGACACATACCTTAAACAAGTTGAGTTGAGACGAAATGGTCCCGACTTGAGGTGAGGCGACGAAGTAAACGGTCCCGACTTGAGTAGAGACGAAATGCGACGGAGAGAACGAGAGAGTTAAGAGTTTCGACCGGAATTAGGGTTTCTTAGTCTTAATTGGAATCGCGTTTCCGTCGGAGAAAGAAAAAGTTTTTTACAGTTTTTTTTTTTCGGAGATGAACAGTGACAGAGAGGGAAATCGAAAGGGTTCTCTTAATGACGTTAATGACGTGGCTTTAATTTGTTTTTTTTTAATGACGTGGATTAACATAATTTTCGTTAATCATTTCTTAATTAAAAATGGATTAAAAAAATCTTTATAAAAAAAAACTAATCAAGGGTGTTAATTGTAATTACACAAAGACGCTAAATATATGAGTAATTTTTTAAAAATGTATGATATTCTAGTAATATTCGAACTTTTGGTTAACATCTGAGTAAACATTTCTAATTTATATGCTTCAAAAGTTACTGACCTTATCCCCAAGATACAATAGAAAGATCATGAGGATGTATAAAATGTTGCACAAAAAATAAAAAGATCGTTAGAAACTATTTCGAACTTATCTTAAACCGTTAAAAGGAGATTTACCATACTGCTAGCACAAATTAGCTCAGATCCTTAGTTCACAAACCTCACTAACTAAACAATTGTACTCATCAAAATATTCTTTTCCTATTAGCATCTTTTTGTTTTGGAAATTTCTATGCTTAATTAAGGCTGAACCAAGTTTTAATGATCACGATAAAGACTCTATTCATGTCAATAGTTATTTATATAGTAAAGATGCATGTATGCCAATCCACTTCATACTCTTCTCTACTTGTTTCCAAAGAGCTTTTTCTTTTATAATCTTTATGGCGTATATTTGCATGTCACCAACAACGAGGTCATAACCGCAAATCTAACCGCACCAACCACTCTCAGTTGCCTAGTCTCCGGTCTCAGCTCTTTACTTTCAGTATTTCTGCAACTTGCCTCCACCTGAACACCTACAAAATATGCTGTCTGAAACCAAATATATAAGAAAAGATTAAAAAAAATAAAAAAAAAAAAAGAGCAATCAGTTCACTGAATTCTCAAAGTCAAAAAGATTGTAGTTGCAATGTGTTTTATGTTTTATTTTTAAACTAATCCCCAATCACAGTGTTTCGTGTCAACTAATCCGTTTTAACTGATCTGAGCCAACATGATCAATTCCAAACTTATACTAAACACTACCTATTTTTTTCAAACTTAGATGTCAAAACCAGGTTTTGTATATGCAACAAATGGATTTATCTTTTATGACGCATTACGAACTGGTGAGAATACATAATAGAGCCGGACTTAAACACATGGAGATGAAACATTTCAATGGAGCCCCATTTTGAAGGGTCTCTACTTAAATTTTTTTAAAGTTTATATATAATATAAAATTATTGTTAATGTGACAAAATAGTATGTTTGATGAATATTTTTTTAAAAAATGTAAAAAGGTTATTTTCAGAAGATTTAAGTTGTTGTTACCTTTTTTAAAGATATTATTGTATTATGTTCTTAAAACAATAGTTTTGTTTAAATTGAGTTTTTTTACTCTATAGATTTCAATATTATGAAAATTATGATGCTATTTTTTTCTTAATTCGTATGAAATCCCGAATCTCATTGGTCCGGCTTGTGAAGAAAATTCTAGAATGTGCTCTTATCTTTTCTGCTACAGATAAAAACATAAATGATCAGTCAAAAAGAATCAAAGAAACAAGCAAGATTCACTTGCAAAAATGTTTTGAAGACAAAACATTATATACTCTATGCTAGAATCGATCTCATTAACGATGTGGGATTTTACCAACGACCAATAAGATGTCAACTTAATCAAATCATCCAACCAATTCGGTATAGCACTACTTTTCATTGTTTATTGATATTCAGAAATGTTAAATCGTGGTATACAGCTCTACTTCTCATTGTCTCGAGTCAACTCTCTCACTCTCTATAAACTAATACCGAATCTTTTTTACTAGAGTTTTTCTATCTCTATCCCTTCGATCGATATATAAAAATAATAATACAAAAAGGACCGTTGAGATAAATAATACATTCAAGACTTTTTGAAACAGAGTAAATTAAGACTTTTTGAAACAGAGTAAATTAATACTGTATAGTTATCAACCAACCTTAGAGCATCATTAACGGTAGTTTCTTAACATAAATCTTAGAGATTATATAATTAAAATTAAATGGAAAATGAGAGTTAAACTTAAGGAACGTTCCTTAGTTAAGAAATGTTTATTCACCTAAGAGACGGACATGTGTCGTTCACAGAATGGGGCTTGGTAAAACACGAGGAAGGAAAAAAATTGTTTCGCGTTTTTCTCTCTCTCTCTTTTCTCTGTGACTGAGAAACCAAAGAGAAATCTTCTCAGTCTCAAATCTTCGTCTCCTCCGTTGATTGTTTAAGTCGGTGATCGGAGGATGGCATCTTCATCATCTCAACGGATGGCGGCTCTTCTCAATCCGATTCGCTTCTCAGATTATCCTTACTCCGACGACTTTTTCCTCAATTCTTCGTCTTTCTCAATTGAATCTGGAAATCGTTATCTGGGTCGTTATCTTTTTCAATTTCATTGTAAATTTTGCAGCTTTGAATCAAGTGCTCTTTTTTCTAAAAGCTATACATGCAGTTGAATGCAGAGGGAGAATTTGATGAAGCCTTTGCAATTTGCAAGGGATTAACCTTTTTCCAAGAGGTAGAAGTAAACATTGAAGAACTGAATTTGGCACTAAATAATGAGCAGATGGATAAAGAGGTAAGGAACCACATGATATGGTGTCAAGCTCCTTCATGAAACTAAATTGGATTATGTGATTTAATTTATTATGAAGTTACCTTGATCGAGTTGGTGAAGAAACAAATCCCGTTTGTCAATTAGGTGATCTGCATATGCTTGAATTTGGGAGACGTTTTCTGCTCATGACATGTGTATTTCTCTCTACAGATTTCCAAAGCAAAGTTTGACCTTGTGCAAACTGTCCAAGAAAATGCAAACGTTCGTCACAAATTGTTCAATCCCTGGTATATTTTTGTTCCTACTAGCACTAGTGCTAAGATCAAAATTTGTGTATACACTAGTTTAAATGTTTGTTGTGGAGACAGGGAGCTTTAGAAGAAAAGAAACTAGTACTTGGGGAAACAAAGAAAGCTGAACACTCCAGGAAAAGGCTGCCATTCTTAACTCAGCGCAAAAATAAACCTGCAAAGAAGAAGGAGGAGAATGTTCATGCCACGGTTGATATTGGGCATAATGATGGGCAGAATTTAAGTAATATAACTGTGCCTGAGGTTGCAAAAGCTTTGGTATGGGTTTCATTTGTGTTAGTGGTATATTGTGACTCTCCACTTCTGAAATTAGGCCTTCTTTTGATCATTGTTGTAAATCATTTTTTAGTCGCTTAAGTCAGAACTTGACAGTGTTAAAAATTACCGGTGAATGATATGCCTTGGGGTTATTGGAGTCGGTTACTTTTAACAGTTGATGGATGGCTGCTTGAAAAGAAAATAGCAAGCAACGATGTTGACTTACTGAGAGACATGGTATGGAAGAAAGATAGAAGAATTCATGATACGTATCTTGACGTCAAAGATAAGAATGAACGTGATGCCATCTCTGCATTTCTCATGATACATTGTGGGGATTGATTTTGTTGAAATCTATTATTTGTGTTTTTTTGTGAGCTTTGATCCCAACTCTTGGATGATGTTTGGGATTCCAAAAACTCTTTTAATAGATTTTGACTCTTGTCACTTTCACTTGTTCTCACAAACTCATACCACACGTTTACACTCATCAGAAAATTGATCTTTTCTACTTAATCCAAACATTCAAATCTTTTCTACTTCATCCAAAAAGTTTTATATTTTCTACTTAATCCCAAATTTAATTTTTGCTACTTAATCCAAAAATTCAACTTCGTAATGGTCACTAGAACTCGACTTCGTGATCGAGCTATGCATCAACAATTGAAGAAGGATTTGGTCGAGCATATATAGTCAAAATTTTCTAGAAATCAAGTTTAAAACATTTGTGCTTTATGTTATGTATGTTATAAATTGTATCTCATGTATGTTTTAAATTTTTTAATTTGCAACAATTATTAATTAAGTTTTCTAAAATTACAAAATTAATTTTTATATTAATTTTTTTCTTCTAAGAACCACATGTTAAGAGCCTACCATTGGAGACACATAAATCTTAAAACAAAAATACAATCTCTTAACTATAACTTTTACAAATTTAATACTTAAACACTCCTAAGAGCCAACATTAAGAGACCCTTGATAATCATGCTCTTAGCTGGATTCAAAATTTTTAATTTCAGCTTAGCTGTATTTGTTTATTTCAACCAACTTAGCTGTATCTACATATATATTTTTACAGGGTTTTTTATATTAATTCATTTAGATCCGGGTTTTATCCGGGTTTAACTCTATCCGGATCTTGGATAAACAATTTTAGAAATGTTGTAATAAAAAAAATCGCCAATTATGACTACAATCTATATATACATTTTTGGATCACAATTAGCAAATAAATCCTGAAGTTGAGAAGTATTTACAATGGCATGCCATTAGCATTAATTATTTAGATTTATTTTATTTAAGTAAAGATTTTTAAATGAAATTCATTTTTCATATATTTAGCAAAAGTCTCTACAAAATCTTTCTTTATCTATATATAGAGCAACTCTATTCTCAACTCTATTTTTGAGTTCAACTTTTTTATTTATACTTTAGTCCCTCAAATTTAAAGTTTTTTATTTAATACATATAATCATTTTATAAACAACAATTACAACGCATAGCTTTATAAACTTAACAAGCAAACAAGTACTAAATTTAAAATAAACAACATAAGAAAACTAAACCATAAAACTAGTAATTTAATAGTCCGGTAAATTGCTTGTAGATCCGCCAAGATAGTTAAAATATTGTCCAAATGAAGTAGATGGAGGAGGAGTTTTTTTTATCTTGATCTTGTTGTTGGACACGTCGTTTTGTAAAATCCGTGCTTGTTCACTCTCAAAATATGCCCGAACATTTGGGTTTTGAAAGGAATTCAAATCACATTTATTTTGTTTTCTTCCTTTAGCTCATTCAAAGCATAATATCCGGTTTCAAGAGTTTCTTGGTTAATTTAAAAAAATCAAAGATAAAGAAGCTCATTTCTCACTACGAAATGCTTTAATTGATCATATGTAGGAAAAATAGTCTAATGGTGTTATTTAAAATAAAATTTGTAATGTTTTATTATTGTTATATGATGTAATGTTTTTTTTAATAAATAATTAGTGTTTAATTTAAATAATTTCATATTTTATGGGAATTTTGCAAATCTATAATATATGGGGTCAAATTGTAAATTATATAATTAAAAGGCATTAGTATATAAAATAGAAATAGATTATTTCTAAGAATATTCTTTTTTTATAGTAAAAAATAGAGATATACATTGGAAAGAAATCCTCCTCTAAAATAGAGTTATTTTATTTTAGAGTAAGATATAAAACTCTACATTGGAGATGGTTTTAGCCCTCGTTTATTTGCCACTGAAACTCAATAAACAATTACGACTAGATCATATATCATTATTATGAAACAAAATATTAAACAAATTTCAAATGGGAGTAGTTTAATCCTTGGGAAGCTGGACACTTAAAACGAGGACAGGACATTACAGTCTGTAAATGTATGAATGTTTATATATACACACATATGAAGGATAACAATATCCCAAAACTCACTCAAAAATAATATCCGATTGAGCAGCCATGAACTTGATCGGAGAATTTCATAGGGGAGAAATTGATGGGAAACCATATCTCTTATACCACAAGGTTATGAAACCCTTACCACAAATAAACTTTCCCGATGAAGAAACCACCATCGAAAATCCATTATCCATCCAAAACAAAACAAACTCTTCCGATAAGGTAGCCATTGATTCTGGCGATGACCTCCCTCTTCCGCCTGTTTTCGTATGCCCTGCATCACAAAACACCTCAACAATTGTTACTGAGAATATTAAACTGACGGGTGAAGACGGAGATCAAATACCTCTAATATTTTTCAAGCTCAAGACTTCCCCTCTCTTTGGTGACAATTTGAAGGGTTGTCGTCATGTCGTACTCCCTTTGTTTTGGTGCAACAATAAAGAAGCTGATCCAGAAAACGATTGCCGTATTTTCAGAACCCAAAAGGTCGGCACATACTATTATTTTTGTGTCGATTGTGATGAAAGGTACCACAAAGAATGTGTCGAGTCTCCACTTGAGATCAATTATCCTTACCACGTCAAACATTCTCTCCAACTTTACTTTTCTAACATAGATTCTAACCATTGCATCTTGTGCACAGAAAAAGCATATCATAACATTTATTATTCTTCTCTATGCGACATTTATATGCATGTGCTTTGTGCGCAGGCACCAATACCCTTTTTTATAGACCAACCAAAAAGGCATGACCTTTTCCCTAGACAAGCTTCTTTAACCTGTAATGTTTGTGCTTTGGTCAATAAACTATCTCTTACCTACGTATGTACTTGATGCGATTTCGTAGCCCATAGTGACTGTATCCATATCCCACAAACCATAAGAATATCTCGTCACTAGCACCGTGTCTCTTTCACTTCTTTTCTTCAACCAGGAAAATGGTTTTGTGGAGTTTGCCGCCAAAAGGTTGACTGCGATTATGGTGCATACACTTGCAATGTCTGCAGTGGCTACGCTGTTCACACAAGATGTGCATTACGCAAAGATATTTCGGATGGCATTGAACTCGAAGGAGTACCAGAAGAAGAGAAAGATGTTGAGCCATTCAAGAGGATATCATCACCTGGAGTAATACTCCATTTCTCTCACGGCTGTCATCTGAAATTTGGTACCAATGGAGTTTACGACGAAAACAAGTTTTGTCAAGCGTGTACCCTTTCAATCAACGAGGAAATTTTTTACATATGTGTGGAATGTAACTTCATGCTACATGAAAGATGTGCAGATGCTCCCCGTAAAAAGGTCCATCCATTGCATCCCCATCCCCTTGATCAAAAGTCTGTCCATGAACGTCGTCATCCTCGTGAGGCATGTTTCCGTGTAAGTAATGGTTTCAAATATGAGTGTGCCAACCAGGATTGTGACTACACTCTAGATGTAGTGTGTGCGTCGGCTTCTGAACCGTTTGATTATCAAGGCCATCAACACCCCTTATTTCTAGCTTTAGACCCGAAAGAATGTATTTAATTGCATTGAATTTCAATGCGATTTTATTATATGTTTTAAGTGTGCTACCTTACCATACATGGTAAGATATAAGCATGATGAACATTACCTCACATTTTGTCGCGGAGATGAGGCAAGTGGCTCAGATTGGTGTGAATTGTGTGAGGGAAAGTTGGCAATTGGGGGAAAAGAAGGGTTCTACAAATGCAACGACTGCTGCACCACGCTTCATATTATTTGCTTACTTGGCCCAGATCTATATTCGAAGCCCTGTGAGACTTTCCCAGTGTTTGGTGGTGAGGTGCATTTTCAACGCAACAATTCTGCTACTCGGCCAATTTGCTACAAATGCAAAACCCGTTGTCCGTATCCAACTTTTTTTGTACTCACAAAGGATATGATTTCTAATTCTATATGTAAGCTTAACACCAATAAATGATAAGGCAGGGAAACCCTACAATACACGTCATACAACCATTGCGTTACACCTGCAACACTTTTTCACATGTATTTTTTTTTCTTGTTGTCTTCATGTTTGTTCTTATTTGTCAACTTTGTTTGTGTGCATTATATTTGATATTTAAACATTATTATATATTTACTTAAAGCATTAATTTATACAAAAGATCTCGTGAAATTCTTCTATAACTGAAAATATCGAATTTGTAAAGTGTAAAATTGAGATCGTATAGAGACAATGTTACATTAGAAATTTGTTAAGTAGTCACTACATATTCACTTAATCACAGTTCTAGTATCCATATATATTCAATGACTGACATTTTTTTTTTTTTTGAATAAAATGTAAAATTTATTCGAAAAAAACGTTTTTATATCAAGTACAACGATTGGTTAAAAGGTTTGTATACAACTCATTAGACTACTCCTTATCTTGAAGCAAACCAAGCTTCCATACATCTATCATATCTTCTATCTCCTTGTTCCCGTATCGAGGAGATCCTATTCCGAACCTGTTTGTCGAGGTTACGAAGCAGTTGCGCTGGCGGTAATGGTGATTCCCCATGCCTCCTGCTATTTCGTTCCCTCATGTACTAAACAATTATACTCATGTACTAACTTCCTTTTTCTATTACCATCTTTTTGTTCTGAAAATTCATAGACTTTGGACTCAGCTGAACCAAGTTTTAATGATCACAATATAGACTTTATTCGTGTAAAATGATTATATACCTACAACATAGTAAAGATGTATATCCAATTCACTTCATACTCTTTTCTACTTTTCTTTCTAAGAGACATTTTCTTTCGGGCGTATATTAGCATGTTACCATCAATGAGCTCCTAACCGCAACTCTAACCGCACCAACCACACTCAGTTGCCTTGTCTCTGGTCTCAGCTCTTTACTTTCAGTATTTCTACAACTTGCTTCCACCTGAACACCCACAAAATATGCTGTCTAAAACCAAAAAAGAAAAGCAGATATCAGATCACTAAATTCTCTCAGTCATAAAATCGACAATCATATTTTTCAATTCAGTTTACCTATTCGAACCGAAATCGATTCGAAACTGAATCAAATTAGAACTGGTTTATTTTTTGCATTCTTGGACAACACGAAACTCAGTTGCTTTGGACAATTATATTTGCAACAGAAAACTGAAATTGTACTCTTCTTTTTCAGTTCTACATGTCATGTCCGGGTTTTGTATCGACGCGAAAAACGTGGATTTGGTTACAAGAAGTTTTAAGTCATGAAGAGATATACCTTGCCGGAAGCATTACGAACTGGTGATATGTGAAGAAGATTCCAGAATGAGCTCTTATCTTTTCTGTTACTGATAAAAACATAAATGATCAGCCCAAAAAACACCAAAGAAACAAGATTCGATCCCGAAAATGTATTGAAGAAATAAATCTTCAACCTGTAATTTAGTATTTGAACTGTGCATGATTGTCCCTTTAAGATGCACTCCTTTATCTGAACCAAATAACCATAAACAATTATCAATCACAAACCCACCACGCCATTATTATAACGCAATCATTACCTCGTATAGTACTGAGGAATCGGTATCAACCCCACTCAGAAATCTGCAGTTTTGTCCCAACACTTCCTGTCTCTTGTAACCTACGAACATTGAAATAAATAAGAACCGTGACCAAAATCTAATAAGGTTGCTTATTTTTTCAAACCTAAACCCAAACACACTCACCGGTCAGTGTCAAAAAGGCATCACTCGCGTAAATGATAGGCATGTCGGGTAAGCATGGATTAGTTCTGCAAAGTTAATAGAACAATGTCAGTGAAAAAAATCAATCGTAGCAAACTGTAACTCCATTACACAATAAAAAATAATGAACTCACAATACGAAACTTTGTTTGATTCTACCAAGAGAAATAACTAGTGACGAGCTTAGACAATCTACTCCTCGCAAGCAGTACCGCTTTCCGCAGACTAATCTACCACTCAACTCGCTATAACGTGTTAAAATAGATAACACATTGTTAACTGCTTCCACAGCTTTTAGCTTCTCAGACTCACTCGCTTCACAGTGTTCCCAATCCTCTAATCCTGCAATACAACAATGCTTTATCAAGCTCTCTGAGGAATTTCATCAAACAAGTAATACGCATAACTTTAAAAAACCAAACCTTGCTCATCATCACATTCCACTGGTGAAGCTCGATTCTGATGCACGAAACTACCAAAACAAACCTCTCTTCGACAAGAACCAAACACCAATTCAGAATGATCCGACGACATAACTCCGAGCTTCCGATGTTCTTGTCCCGAAATCGGGACCTGAACCGCCACAAAATTGATAACTTTACCATCATCTCTCCCAAAAACAGGGCTCATATGAAACAACATCCAAAACGGAGATCCAGATTTACGATAATTCAACAAGCTAACCATAACAGATCTCTCTTCACGAATAGCTTCACGAATCTCCATGATTGATCTTCGATTAGTCTTAGGTCCTTGAAAAACTTTACCGTTTCTTCCGATGACTTCTTCTCGTGAATACCCAGTCATTTTCAAAAACCCTAAGCTCGCGAAAACAATCGGGTGACCCGAAATAAACGGGTCGGTGATTGTGAAATTGTGAGGAAGCTCTTCTAAAGCTTCTGTGATCCATAAAGTGTATCGACCGTTAAAGGAATCTTCTTCTGAAGATTTCGTTAAGGACATAATCGTAATAAACACTCGATGACTATTACTCTTGTTCTTCTTGTCAGTCTAGTGTTTAGTGCCAATCCCATGTGGGTTTTGAGGCGAAATTGAGAAACTTTTTCTTCAAAGTGAATCCGAAACACCAAACCCAGGTATGGAAATTTGAAATCGGGAATCAAGAAAATGTTTTCATGGGAAAAAAATCGAAACTTTGTAGAACGAAAGAAAAACCAGAGATTCTCAAGTAAGGAGAAAGAAGAAGAAGATGATGAAATGAGAGATACGGGATTGAGAAATGAGAAATTAGTGTCAATTTGATGTAATCGCTCTCTTTTAGAAGAAACGTTCTTCTTTCTTCTTGTCTGATTTTTTTTATTCTTTCGATTTTCTGTGGCTATCGGAAGAAGACGATTGGTTTTGTCGCGTTGCTCTGTTCTTCGAGTTGTTAAAAATTAAAAATAAATATTCAGATATTTTGTTCCTAATTTAGTTTAATTTATTACTAAATTACATTTTCAACAATTATCCAAAAGGATTTAAGGATAAGTACAAGGTTTATGTAGGGTAGGCACAAATTGGATAAGATAATTAAAGTGTCCTTAATACGTTTTGTAATCCAAGTGTTTTAAATGAGTATATCTTGATTTAATTCAAAAATTCATAAAAAAAATTTCTGTCGTCCAAATATTCATAATTTATGCTGATTAGGATTTTTAAGTTAAATCACAGGATATTTCGGCTAATTTAATGCCAATATTTTTGTTAAAATAAAATAAATAAATATTCACCTCTTAATTTAGGAGTGTGGTGGGTCCTAGAAACCGAGATTCCACGTAAACAAACGCTCGAAAACGACAAAAGCTGACTGTCCATACTTATCTATCTCTCTGGTGTCGTGTGGCTTTGTTTGTGTTATCAAATCAATGCAACCTCGCTTACGTGGCATCTATCATTTGTACGTTACTCTCCGGTTGTAACATGTGTCGTTCACTCATCGCCTATTATTGATTCGGCTAAGGAGGCCCATTGGGCTGTATTAAGCTGTTTTTCAAAAAATATTTCATAATATAGTACATTTTTATATTTTGGCCAACTCAAAATTTATCTTTTTTTTTTTAACGAAAACAAATCTATCATTTTTTTTGTTGACAAATCTATCATTTAAGATCAAAGAAAAAAGAGCTAAATTCACAGTAAACTATTTTTATTTAGGGAAAGACGATAGATACTGGAATACAGAACATGTCAGGTCGATTATGGTTATGTTGGTGTTTGTAGTTGTTGGAGACTGTTGATAGAAATCATGAGCAAAGAGAATCTGTGAATGCTTTTCTATCTTTCTCAAGTATAAAGTCGTTACAAATGTTGGCTTATATACATCTAAGAGTAAACCAATATCTACACTAAACCATAATCTAATTAACTAAACCAAGATTATTAAACCGGTCTATATACATACTCTAATAGGCCCCCTCAAGCTTGAGCTTCAAAAATGTTAAGGATGCCAAGCTTGTTGTTGTTTGCTTTGAATAGAGCTGGATACAAAGGTTTGGTCAGAATATCAGCTAACTAATTATCAGTTCTGACAAACATAGTCTTCAGAATTCCTGCTTCCATGCATTCTCTTACTTTGTGACAATCAAATTCAATGTGTTTTGTCCTTTCATGGAAAACAGAATTGCTGGCAATATGCAGAGCAGCTTCATTATCACAGTAAAGATAAGCTGGAGGGTGAAATGGAACCTTAAGAGCCGAAAGAAGGTATCCAAGCCAAATAATCTCCTTTGTAGCGACACTCATTGCACGATATTCAGCTTCTGCAGAACTCATAGAGACCACATCTTGCTTCTTAGAGCGCCAAGAAATTAAAGAATTACCAAGAAAAATGGCAAAACCAGTAACACAGCGTCTAGAATCAGGACAAGTACCCCAATCAGAATCAGAGTATCCTCGCAGATCAAAGTTAGCATCAACACCATAGAAGAGTCCCTGACCAATAGTACCCTTCAAGTATCTTAAAACTTTATGAAGAGCCTGAAGATGAATATCACTGGGAGCAGATGAATATTGAGCTAGCTTTGAAACAGCAAATGTAATATCAGAACGTGTGATACACAAGTATTGAAGACGACCAATAAGTCTTCTATATTGCTTAGTGTCAGCCAAAGGTGTACCAGTCTCTGTTGAAAGCTTCTGGTGAGGTTCCATAGGAATAGAGGATGGCTTGCAGTCAGAAAAACCAGTAGATTCTAGCAAGTCAAGAACATACTTCCTTTGACTTAAAGAAATACCTTGATCAGTTCTGGCAATCTCAATGCCAAGAAAGAATTTAGGAGGACCAAGATCTCTTAATTGGAAAGTAGAACTCAACTGCATTTTCAACTCACATACTGCTGCATCATGAGTACTAGCAATCAAAATGTCATCCACATACACAATAACCACCAGAAAATGACCATTAGCTTCCTTCACAAATAAAGTATGATCTCCATGACATTTAGCAAAACCAAAACCCACCAATGTACTGGAAAATTTTAAGAACCATTGGCGAGACGCCTGCTTAAGCCCATAAATGGATTTGTGTAATCGACATACTGCATTGGGAGAAGCTTCTACTCCCATTAGCTCATTATAACCAGGGGTAATTTCATATACAGTTCCTCAGCAAGGTCACCATTAAGAAATGCATTAGAAACGTCTAACTGATGTAAAGACCATTGCATCTTAGGTGCGAGGGAAAGAATAAGCTTCACTGTGGCCATCTTGGCAACAGGAGAAAATGTGTCAATAAAGTCTATTCCCTCTTGCTGAGTATACCCTTTGGCTACAAGCCGAGCCTTGTATCTTTCAATGCTTCCATCAGCATGAAATTTGATAGTGAATACCCACTTACAACCTACAACAGTCTTCCCTGAAGGTAAATCACAGATGCTCCAAGTTTCAGTTCTTATAAAAGCACCAATCTCCTTTCCCATAGCATCAAACCATTCCTTGACATGCTTAGCTTCTGAAAAACTTTTTGGTAATTTTGCTTTTGTAATGATATTAATGAAAGCACCAAAAGGCTCAGATAAGTATGAATAAGAAATATATTTTGCTAATGGATACGGGGAAGTTTTAATAGGTCTAGTAGGAGTATTATTATTATAACAATGAAAATCCTGCAAATGGGAAGACAGTTTTCTCTGCCGAGTTGGTTTAGATTCAGAAGGAATAGAAACCATGGAAGATGACTCATCATGATTGTGAGGAGCATCAGAAGATGATTGCACTAGAGGCAAATGTTCATCATGATTTGGTGCAGGGAGAGAAAAATGAGGAAAGAAGGTCTTTACATCATCTGAGATATTAGATGATGCAAAAGGAAAAATTTCCTCATGAAATATGACATGCCTAGAAACAGAAACTGAGTATGTCTCAATATCTAGTAGCTTATAACCTTTAAAACCTGAGGGATAACCTAGGAAAATACAGGCTCTAGCTCTAGGATCAAATTTGGTTCTGTTTTTAGGAGAGGTTGAACTATAGCACAAACAACCAAAAGCCTTAAGAGAGTTATAATCCGGGAGTTCATTTGTCAATTTTTCAAAAGGTGTTTTGTTGTCTAATACTGGAGATGGTAACCTATTGATAAGAAAAGCTGCAGTTAAGACACAATCCCCCCAAAACTGTAAAGGAATCCCAGATTGAAACATAAGGGCCCTAGCAACATTCAACAAATGCTGATGCTTTCTCTCTACAATTGAGTTTTGTTCTGGAGTTTCAGGACAAGAATGAAAACTTTTAATTCCTTTATCCATGTATAAAGCAGTAAATTTCAATTCATTAGCATTATCCGATCTAACAGAGCAAACTTTAGCATTGTATTGAATTTCAACGAGTTGAATAAAACCAGGAAAAACATGTAAGACATCAGATTTTTGTTTAAGCATATAGATCCAAGTTGCACGACTAAAATCATCTAAAATCATCAACAATAGTAAAAAAATATCTAAAACCATCAACAGTAGGAACAGAAAAAGGTCCCCAAGTGTCAATATGAATCAATTCAAAAGGTTTTGTTCTCATATTATTAGATAACTTGAAAGGTAAATGTTTCTGTTTAGCAAGATGACAGATATGACAATGATGAGATGATTTATTAATCTTTTGTTTAGACAACTGGAGAACAGGAGAAAGAGATTCTATTTTACTTAAAGAAGGATGTCCTAATCTTTTATGCCATAATTCAGAATCAACATGAACACTAGCACAGACAGACATACCTGGTAAAGAAGAATCAGAAACATGACTAAGAGACTTATCAAGATTCAGAACATATAGATTTGCAACTTGACTACCTTGCCCAATCATTAACTCCTGAGTAAGTGCCTGGATAAAGCATGCATCAGAAGTAAAACTGACTTTAGATTTCAGAGTTTTAGTCACAACACTCACACTCAACAGATTAAATCTGAATTCAGGAATATATAACACATTATGTAGAGACAAAGCATCAGTGAGTTGAATAAAACCAGTGCCCTCTATTTTCACTGTTTGACCATTAGGTAATCTAACATAGGTTCTATCTAAGGCTTTGTATTCTACATAAATTTCCCTTTCATGTGTGACATGATGACTAGCCCCTGAATCTATAACCCAAGCTCTATGAGACAACTCAGTTTCATGAGGTATAGATGAAGTTAACATGTCATAATAAGTAAAGTCATAAAGAGAAAGAAATGTACCAGTTATCTGTGAGATAGATGGTACAGGAGTTGAAGTCGAAGCTATAGCTTTATCAGGGGATGGAGAGATGGTACTGGACTGGAGCTTAGAACTGAGATAAGAGATCATCATTTGGAGTTGATCCGTAGACATATCCTCATTTTTTCCTTCAGGCAAATTTTCTTTCTGAGACAAAACTGCATCTGAGCTTGTCAAGTTAGTACTTCCCACATAAGTATTCTTCTTAGCCCTTGGATGACCAGGTGGATAGCCATGTACTTTGTAGCATTTATCCACAGTATGACCAACACGAAAACAGTGAGAACACTTAGGTTTTTGAAAGTTTCCCTGTGTTGCCAGAATAGAGTTCTGTTCATGAAGAATAGCCTGAGCTTGAAAAGCTGAAGGAGTAGACAGAGGTCTTGAATATCCAACAATCCTTTGACTCTCATCCTGATCCAGCATGTTATAAATCTCATTTAATCCAGGTCTTGGTTTCATGTTTAGTATCTGACCACGAATGTTGTTGAAGTTATCATTCAATCCCATCAAAAATTGAATCACACGGCTTGTCTCTGCTTCCTCTAACAGTTCTTTGACTTGATCACAGTCACATTTCTTCACAGTACGAGTCCTTGTGTTAGACAACTGCTCCCACAATGTCTTCTTCTTCGTGAAGTATGTTGATAAATCAAGATCTCCCTGCTTGAGTGTCATGACAGCTTGTTCAATTTGATATTTCCGCGGTAGATTGCTAACCTTGAACCTAGTAAACAGATCATCCCACATTTCCATCGCATCTTGATAATAAAGAATGCTATCATAGATCTCCTTGTTCACAACATTAAGGATCCAGGACTTCACCATACTATTGCATCTACTCCAGATTCGGAAACTAGAATCATCCTCAGAAGGCCTCACTAACGATCCATCAACAAAGCCTAGCTTATTTTTCGCATCTAAGCTAATTTTCATCGCAATCGACCAACTGTTGTAATTAGTTCCATCAAGAATATGAGATACAACCTGTAAACCTGGATGATCTGAAGAATGGAGGACGAGTGGATTGTCAGAGTTCTTCGACATTGATCCATTTCCCTCAAAAACTTCAAATCGTTGTGTGAGCTGTTGTTTCGGCATCGCAAGCTTTGGATCTTCAAGAATCACTGAGTTACGAGTAGATCTAACAACAGAACCACCATCGTCAGGTGTAGTACTTTGATTTCTCAGTTTTCCTCCCTTCTTCACCATTTTCGTCAAAATCAAGTGCGCGGAAGAACAATCGAAGATGATAGAGACGAAGAGACGAAGAAATTGAAGAAGAATCTGAAGATAATCGGTGAAATCAACAGAAAAAACGCAGAAAATGCTCTGATACCATGATAGAAATCATGAGCAAAGAGAATCTGTGAATGCTTTTCTATCTTTCTCAAGTATAAAGTCGTTACAAATGTTGGCTTATATACATCTAAGAGTAAACCAATATCTACACTAAACCATAATCTAATTAACTAAACCAAGATTATTAAACCGGTCTATATACATACTCTAATAACTGTTACCAGCAATTGCAATTATCGAATAGTCGTTGTGCGCAACACATTTTCTTGTTCGTTTTGTAGTGACACAATAAAAATTTCGGTCATTGGTCGTTTCGCAACACTTTTGATCTCGGTTGAATTTTGCTGCTTTTTTGTAAGAAATAATTTCTTGCTGAATTCATTTTGTAATAAGTCCTAAGTTAATCAAAAATAATAAATAAGAAAGCCCAAATAAAAGTAATATGTAGGTTTGAGAGACAAAAATAACTGAATACATTCCACAAAATAAGGATAAACAAAGAAAGAACAATAAAAAACCAGACAAACTATAATTGGTTTTCAAGAAAAGTAACAGAGGTTTTTTAAAATCAATGGTTACCTAATAATTACTCTGTTAATCGTTAATCCTCCATTAATGTCTTTCATTTTCCCTCTCTCTTCAAGTTCCTTGTTATTTAAGAAAGCCATGAATCCGATTATCTATTTCTAACCCTGGGCCGACCAGAAAACTTTTGGACGACCCAAATTTCAAGGGTTCTAATAAATTCTTCACCGGAAAAAATATTTATAAATAAAAATCTCTCACCACCGCCGATTCAAATGTTGAATCTTGGGAGCTACGTTTTCGTCTTTGTCTCGTTGTCTCTCACCGTGGTAGTTCCATCGGTTCAAGCCCACATCGCCGTATATGATGACTACTGGACGCAGCGTCAAACCATCGCATTGCGACAAACTTTGGAATCATATGACCCGAACCCAGATAACGTCACAGACCACTTCAACTACCATGCCGCCTTGTGGGTTCTCTAAAATTTAACCTACTTAGGGTTTTTGATTTGTTACTAAAACCTAACTTCTTCCGGAAGTAACTAATGTTTTCTGGGTTTTTCCAGAGCCATGGAGACTACAGGGATAGTCAACGAAACAAGGAGGGATCTCCGTCAGGTCAGAAGCGGTAAGAAAAAACCTAGACGTGGCGGAAGGTTCGAATCCCTTAATGCGATCGATAAATGCTGGCGAGGCGACAAAAACTGGGACAAAAACCGGAAAAAACTAGCAGATTGCGTCCTTGGATTTGGCCGTAAAACAACCGGAGGCAAAAACGGACCAATCTATGTAGTCACTGACCCATCCGACAACGATCTACTGAACCCAAAACCGGGAACTATAAGACACGCCGTGACAAGAGACCGACCACTGTGGATCGTATTCGCGAGAAGCATGATCATAAAACTGCAACAAGAACTGATCATAACGAATGATAAAACAATCGACGGTCGGGGAGCGAGAATTTATATAACTGGGGGTGCAGGTTTAACGTTGCAGTTCGTGAGGAATGTGATAATACATAATGTTCATATCAAACTCATTAAAAAAGGAGTTGGTGGGGTGATTAGAGACTCCGAGCATCATTATGGGCATCGGACAATGAGTGATGGTGATGGGATTAATATTTTTGGAGCAACGAATGTTTGGATCGATCATGTCTCAATGACGGATTGTTCTGATGGGATGATTGATGCGATCATGGGATCGACCGCGATTACTATCTCCAATTCACATTTTACCGACCACGACGAGGTAAATAAGACAACATATAAATTAGGCATTGGCATAAAAGTATAAAACCCAACCAAAATGCTTTTCACCAAATTGTTTTGGCGGTTACAATTAGCAAAGAGCTTATGCTTAAGATGTTCATGGTTGTGTATTCACTTGAAAAACAATACACACTAGATGCAAACTTCGAATGCAAAAACAATGAGGCCTAAGGTCTCCCTTAATTACTGCAGGTGATGCTGTTTGGGGGTACAAACAAGGATGTGATCGACAAGAAAATGCAGATAACGGTTGCGTTTAACCATTTTGGTAAGAGATTGAAGCAAAGAATGCCAAGGGTCAGATATGGTTTGGTCCATGTTGTGAACAATGACTACACTCACTGGGAAATGTATGCAATTGGTGGAAACATGAACCCTACCATTATAAGCCAAGGCAATCGTTTCATTGCTCCTCCTATTGAAGATTCCAAGCAGGTAAAAAACTACTAAAACTCTCTAATCAACAAATCACTACACTACACTTGAGAGACAATTGAGAGAAATTTGAAATGCAGGTTACAAAGAGGGAGTACACACCTTATCCTGAATGGAAAACATGGAATTGGCAATCAGAGAAAGATTATTTCTTGAACGGAGCTTACTTTGTGCAATCAGGAAAAGCAAATGCGTGGAGCTCTACCCCGAAAAATCCAATCCCTAGAAAGTTTGCAATCCGACCACAGCCAGGAACAAAGGTCAGAAGACTCACCAAGGATGCTGGTACGCTTGGCTGCAAACCGGGCAAGTCCTGCTGAGAAAAGCTCCATGTTCGTGCGTGTGTGTTCCCGTGTTGTTATGGTAACAAAGAAAAAAAAAGACAAAAAGAACTGTACTTGTTGTGGATGGTGTTTGTAACAAATTGTGCATAATGCAGTACGGATTATTATTATTAGAAAAAATATAGGTTTCAAATTTTTGTTGGATGCGAAAAAATTCAAGGAAAAAAGCACATTCTTTTTGTTTTTCAATCTTCTTACTTGCCTCAAAGGACACTAATCTAAACACCAATACATAATAATCACTCCTATTAATCCTATACCTTCTTTCTATCCATATCCAGGGTCATTCTCATCAATGCTGTCTCGCTTAGGCTATCAGACTCGTGCCTTCTTGCTTCAAAAGAGTAAGAAACAAACGATTTAGACAGACTTGGCTTTGTCACTGTTCATGAAAGAAAGGAAGATTATGTCCTCAAACCGTGATGATATATTGGTACCATCTGAATTAGCAGTCATCTAGTAGCTCTATCTTATCGCTTTCTTTTAAACCCTGAAACAAGTCAAGAAACAGATTGGATGAGTGGAGGTTTCATTTGGAGGTTTAATAAAACCATATTACTGCATCTGATTCTATCTGTGAGTGTACTTGATATCATATATTGATCCAAAATACCTCTGAGCTTGAAGTTTCTTCGTTCGTAAGTACTATACATGTGTTTGACTTCCCTGAAAGCCGAAGCTTCTCCTGCAAGACCACATGAAGCAAGTTATCATAAAATTCCATGGAGAAGATGTAGGAGGTTAAATAGGTGAGACCACTAGATTATTACTAGGGACTATATACATACTAATACTAATTCACAAGAATACATACCTGCATCAATATATCCGGCATCTTGTGATTTTCTCCACCCAAAGAGTCGCACAGATATATCAAACCCATATTCGCAATATTCTGCCCAGCAAAAAAAAGCAACAAAAGAAGAGAAATAAGTAAATTTGATCTCTTACTTCACTGACTCCATGATTAGCTGCAAGTGATCCCTTCAAATGGCTTTGAAAACATTAATAAATAACAAGAACAGAAATACAGAAGTACGTACCTGCTTGTACTCAATGCTATCTAATTTTCCACCCTGAAAAATTGGGGATTTAGATGTAATCAGTAACAGTAAGCAATAACGACCAGTAGAAACTCTATAATTTTTGTTTGCTATATTCATGATTTTAAGTTGCTGTTAAGTTATAAGAAAGGAAAAGAGAAAAAGTCTTATTGGTGGTCACATAATTCTGGTAGTCAGACATGTTTTCATCTAGAGATGACAATAAAGAAACAATAAAAAGGAAATTTTTAACAGCAGTACACGCACCATACCACCAAAGATGCTATGCATTGCGTCAAAATCATCTCCAATGTTAGCAAGATCCTCAAGAGCCAAACCCACCTGTTCCATAGGTCTGAAACTTGTTAATACCACCCTCAAAAGAAGAACTCTTAAAATCTATTAATATTTAATACCATATTCATACATTATCCTGGACTCCCTTTAAGAGATCCTTCTGCAAGTCCAGCTTATCGTCCACCTTCTGAAGCCGCTGGCTCAGGTGCTTCTTAGCATTCTAACCAACAACATAAACAAAAGCACTATACAATCAAAATCCCTTAAAGATCATATATAAGGCCTGTTACAAGTAACAATAGTTAATCGAAGAATCACCCACAGAGATAGCTTCTGAAACGGTATCCAAATGCTTTGTCAAGTTCGACACTGCATTTTCCATGTTCCGCTTAGTTACACACATGATATCAGAGAATGAAATCCCCTACCACAAAAACAAACATCAGCTTCAGAGAAAATTTATCCCAAAAACGACTTTAGTGATAACTGTTACTGGAACTCTATAAGATACCTTGAAGCGCATATAGCCATAGCCTAAAGCTCCCAATGTGGCTGCCGGGACTATAAACGGTGTAAAGTCAGCTGGAAAATGTAGAAGATTAAGTTAAAGATTAACAAACACTGATCAAAAACACCAAATCGAACACTAGCCGGAAGACAAACCTCCCTGAGCTCCATTCATAACAGTTATCTGCCGCGACGAAGCCAATTGCCGAACCTCCATTGCTAATCGTTGCATCTACAAAAATCGCATATATGATTGTTCCAAAAAATTTGATCTTTTTCAAATTAGCTCCAGACTATTCACATAAACTCTTCACCTCAAGATCCATAACACAAAATTTACCTGAGTAGTCATAGCATCAGAATCATCATCTACATGATCTCCAGATTTCTCAAATCTCTTAACCAAAGCCTTCGAATTTGGAGTCAAAAGAACAAACTTTTTACTAGTCACTTCTAATCAAAAATTGAGAAGAACAATAAAGAAGCTTTTACTAATCGTACCTGAAGCTCACCCAAAATATCTGCCATCTTCCCATTCTTAATCAGAATCGTACTTGTATAACCTTCAGATTCAAAGACAACAAATTAGCAAAAAGGTTTTTTTTTTTATAAATCTTCAAAAACTCCAAAATCATGATCGAGAAACCCTAGGTACCTGCTCCAGCTAAAATCAGAATCTTCGATAACCCAATTCCAGATTGCATAGCCATGGTCGCAGACTCACAGGTGAAACAAAAGGAAGTTGTCTTCTTCGTCTAGCTCTGTAAAAGTTTCGCTCGCCGGCGTAAGAAACTGTCAGGTCAATGTCGGTTTCTGTTGAACGGTGTCGTTTCGTAATTTATACCTTAATTATAAACTCTTTGACCTTGCACTAAACGTAATGAATAAATTTGAACCGTGCATTAATAAAGTAGCTTTGGTCAACTTTCTAAGAAATATGGGGTTAATTTTGTAAGGTTCTTAATATTATCGGGTAAAAACGAATTAACCAAAACTCATCTCCCATAAAAACATTTTATTTGAGTTTGGGATATATTTCATCGAATCAATCTAATTTTCTTTAAAAATCAAACATGTATAATGCTAGAAACCAACATTGAAAGTCTGTGCTTCATTAATTTGATACATTGACCAATCTACTCATTGTCAACACTAATATATAAAGTACATTAAAATGTTGTTGATTTTTAACTTTTTATGATTTTATCAGATTTTAGGTAAAAAAAAACTGAAAAACTGAATCATATAATTTTATTGTTTTAATTAGAATATAAGACTAGACTGATCAAGATCGATTTAAATGTAATTTGATTTATTAGTTTTTCTTTTAACTATAATACTTGTTTTAGTCGCGATTAAATGAAACTCTGGAGTAGTTAAAAAAAATTAATATGCAATATATTTTCTTTGGTTGATACATATCATCTTACATTATATATAAACATATATATATATATATATATTGTTTGAATGTTTAATTGATAGATCAAATAGTGAAGATATGTACAAAAATGATTACAAGACATTATAGCCAAAAGCAGTAAACTCAAATGCTACTCGATGACATGTTCGAGAGAAGAGACAAATTAATGACGCACATACTCTTTTTTTTTTTTTTTTTGATAAACCCTATCGGCTATCCGGTCAGCTCCGGTAGAAACGCACCAAGGTGCTACATAGTAAACTTGTCCACAGTATTAACGGCTAGGCTCTTCGGGCTACCACTCTGCCTATCCCGAGTTTGGTGTGCCTTCCGACTAAGTGTCAGGGAATAGTCAGGCCGCCTGCATTTCTGACTACCAGGTAAACCAATTGGGCTAAAGCCCAACTGACAGATTTCCCACATAATGTTGATAACAGCAGGGGAAGGAGTCGAATCCGGAGGGGAGGGAGTTTCACCCAAACACCCCGGAGGGGAGGGAGTTTCACATACTCTTGAACAAAGAATTATTCATTAATTATATGTTGCTTGAAAATGTTTTTTTCACGTTGAGTTTTTTTTTAATTACATTAAAAAAAAACTCTAACCTTATAGAAACTTAGATTCTTTTCTTAAAAATAACACATAATTAGGGTTTTTATATAGTTTCTGAGTATTATCTAATTCGGTACAGAAAAAAAAAGCTCATTTTAAAGTCATGAACTTGTATTTAAACAGATTTAGCTGTTTTCGAGATTAGCAGACTCTTGACTTAGAAGTTGGTGAGACCGCAAACCACTGTTAGAGACTTAGAGTATCTCATGAAGTTGCGGTCTAGAAATATAGTTGAGCGATATAATACTATATTTTTTTATCATAATATCTAAAAATACATAATTTTAGTTAGGATTGTGTATTTCTAAGTTATGTTTTTTGTTAATAACTTTATACTAACAAAACTGGATCAAATGATAAGAATATTGTTTTTACATAAGATAAATCTCGACTAATATATTAGAACATTGTAATTCTAAGATAAATCTCGAGAAATAGAAGAATAACCAATTATCTAATTTTGTGAGTAAAAAATTGAGGGTTATTTTGTAAATCGGTTAGTTTGATGGAATATTAAAATTTTCTAAACGTTTAAAGTTTATTTGCGTCTTTGGATAATGTCTTGCAAAAGTCGTAGAGCTTTCTTATAAACGTTGGTTATATTGGGGCAAATTGTAAAATGTTAAAAATGATTTGGTAAAAAATAAATTAACTTTAAACGTTGGTTATATGTCTTTTCTATTTTGATGTTCTAAGCAATGACTTTACTTAATTGTGTGGTGCGGCGAGCCTGTCTCGACTATCTTATTATAACATTGTAATCCTAAGATAAATCTCAAAAAAGGCAAAACCACCGTTTAACTAATTTTCACAATGGTTATAAATTGAGGGCTATCTTGCAAATCTGTTAGTTTGAGGGAATGTTGAAAGTTTCTAAACGTTTAAAGTTTATTTGCATCTTTTGATAATGTCTTGCAAAAGTCGGAGGGCTTTCTTATAAACGTTGGTTATATTTGGGCAAATTTGTAAAATGTTAAAAATGATTGGGTAAAAACGAATTAACAGAAAGTCTTTTCTCCTAAACCCTTTTCGTCCATAGTAATCCCACAGTGGAGAAGACGAAGCATTGAGAGGGAAAAGAAAAATGATGTCGCAGCTCTTATCTTCTCCTCCAATGGCGGTTTTCTCCAAACCCTTCATAAACTATAAGTTTACAGATGCTCGTTTTCCCTCTTCTCACTCAATTCTCAGCTCCGGTGATTTCGCCGGAAAAATCGTTCCTTTAAAACCGATGGCAAGGTTGAAATTATCGGTAAAGTCTCGCCAAGATGATTACTTTGAGAAGCAGAGGTTTGGTGACTCTTCTTCTTCGCAAAACGGTAGGGTTTTCACTCATTGTTTGAATTTTTGAGTAATGGAAAGCTTTTGAATTTTAGAAAGTTTGAATTTTGTTTGTTTGATTGGGTTTATAGCTGAAGGATCTTCTCCTAGATTTTACGTGGGTCATTCGATTTACAAAGGGAAAGCTGCTCTTACGATAGAGCCACGAGCACCAGAGTTTGTGGCTTTGGAAGTATGTGTCTTTGTCGAAGAGCAAAAGCTCTAGTGTTTTGTTTCTTTGATCTTAGATTGATCTCGGTTCTTCATGTTTTGATCCAGTCTGGTGCGTTCAAGCTGACAAAGGAAGGTTTTTTGTTGCTCCAATTTGCTCCTGCAGCTGGTGTTCGTCAATACGATTGGAGTAGGAAGCAGGTTTGGTTTTTATCTTTCAATTACTACTTCATAGATTGTGATAGAAATCATGACTTTATCTGGTGTTTATCTTCAACTTGGTATTTATAGATTGTGCTAATGAAAATCACTTGGTTTGGTGAAAGAAACAGCCTTTTTTAAGATATAATGTGATTTTGGTAAAATCATGTTTTGATGTCGAATGATGCAGGTCTTCTCGTTGTCGGTTACAGAAATCGGTAATCTAGTTAGCCTTGGGCCGAGGGAATCATGTGAATTCTTCCATGATCCATTCAAGGGAAAAGGGTATGATTTAGGATTCTATGAGATTTATTTCATTACTCAGATAGTGTTGTCTCTGTAGTTCTGATTCGTAATCTATGTTGTGTTGTGCTTGTTGTGTAGTAGTGATGAAGGTAAAGTGAGGAAAGTGTTGAAAGTTGAGCCCCTCCCAGATGGTTCTGGCCGCTTCTTTAACCTGAGTAAGCAAATATTTATTTCTTCTTCTTTATTTTATCAAGCTCTTCTGATTTCCACTGTTGATTTTTCATGAAGGTGTTCAAAACAAGCTCTTGAATGTAGATGAGAGTGTATACATACCAATCACTAAAGCAGAGTTTGCTGTTCTTATCTCTGCTTTCAACGTAAGCTCTCTCTTACACTCTCTGTGAAAAGCTTTCGCATTTGGTATAACTTTATGCATTGAATTGCAGTTCATCTTGCCGCACCTTATAGGCTGGAGTGCATTTGCTAACTCCATCAAACCAGAAGACGCTAACCGCCTTAACAATGCATCGCCTAAGTATGGAGGAGACTATGAATGGAGTAGATGATTAGAGGCAACCTTGCATACTCGGTCGATCCCATCATCTTTTTGTTCTTAAAAAATCAATGAGTCACCAAGAGCTGTTCAAGACACAGAACGGAAAGAAAAGTAGCAACATAGACTGAAGTAGCGTTTAGACCAAATGTGATGTGTTGTTGTGTAGGAAATAACTCATATTTTGTATTAGACAATCTGTATTCATTCATGAGAAATCAATTACAATTTTGCTAATACAAGAATTAGATACTTTTCCTCTTGTATAGTCTTTACATATAATATTGATCACAAAGGGTCTAATACTCTGATCTCTTTAGGGAGCATTGGCATGCTCTCGATTTGGAAATCGTAAACCAAGTTGATTCGTCCAACATAGGATTTCATTCGCGGTATAGAAGAAACTAAGGGACCTAAACAAACAAAGATAAAGAGATCATCGTGCGGATTATCGCATTCAGACATTAAGAGTGTAATACCCCGCACAATGAGCTGTTTCTCTTTGTTAGTTTAGGTCCTTTAGTGTCTTCCACACTGCGGATGTAAACCTGAATTGGTGAATCACCTGCTTTACGAGCCCCGAATCAAGAGCATGTCAATACTCCCCAAAGAGATCCCTGCCTTTGCTCACATTGGACCACTCAGCATATACTTAACCAGACAAACTAAGACCTGGAAGTTTCACCAGTTGCTTCTGATCTATTACCTGCCTGATACTTTCCACATCTTCCCATCTTTCTAATGCAGCATATATGCTGGACAAGATCACAAATGGAGCTGGATTCCCTGGCTCTAACTCTGCTAGCTTCATTGCCGCTTCCTCTCCAAGCACTGGATCCAGGTGTTGCCTACATGAACCGAGCAAAGAAGAGTAAACCGAAGATGATGGATCTGACATTCGATCTATTACCTCCTTGGCTTCTCTTAATCTGCCAAACCGACCCAAAAGATCAACCATACAACCAATGTGCTCTGTACTAGGTTTATATCCATATTCTTCCTGCATCAACCTAAATATTTGAGATCCCTTCTCGACATTGCCGCAGTGACTACACGCAGATAGAACAGCAGTGAAGGTTGCTAAACTCGGTTCTACTTCCTCCTCTCGTAATAAGTCGAAGATTTCAATTGCAGATTCACACTCTCCATGTTTACCATATCCAGATATCATAACGTTCCAGAACACGGGATCCTTGGGTTTTGGTTCAAACCGATCAAATATCCGGCGTGCCAACAACGAGAACCCACATTTCATGTACATGTCAATGAGAGACGTTAAAACAAATATATCCCTTTCAGCTGCAGCTTTAATGACATGCCCATGGATCTCTTTGCCGTTCTTCAAAGTCCAAATATCTGAACAAGCCGATAAAAGGCTAGTGAGACATTTCAAACTAGGAACCATAACTACTGATAGCATTCTCTCAAAGAACTTGAAAGCTTCAACTACTTTCCCTAATTGTGAAAAGCCACTGATCAGCGAATTCCACGTCGCTGAATCAGGCTTAAGTCCCTCGGAATCCAACTGTTCAAACAGCTCAACTGCTGTCTCATGCTGTCCATTAAGCATCATCCCAGAGATAACAGAGTTCCAAGATATCAAGTTCCTGGTATCTTTCAGCTCGGTGAAAACACTGTATGCTGATTTCCAACATCGACATTTTGAATACATATCAATGAGAGCTGTACCAACCATTGTATCAAACTGAAACTCTGTTTTCATGACAAGACCATGAAGTTGCCTACCATACTGGAGATTCAAAAGACTAGCGCAAGCAGTTATTGCATTAACAAAAGTAACATCATTTGGCTCTTCACTTGAAAACTTCCTCATGAGATTGAAGACATTAGGGACCAAATGCATAACTCCATTCTCCATCAATCCGGAGATAAAAGCATTGTAGGTCACAACACTCTTATGAGGCACTTTTTCGAACATTCTCGCAGCCAAAATCCACTCTCCACATCTCGAATACATTGAAACAAGAGAAGTTCCAACGTAAACTTCCATCTCAAAACCTGATTTCATCGCCAAACAATGCATTTGCATCCCTCCTTCAATATCCCCACAACCACCCAAAACACTAGCCACAGTAACCGAATTCATCCCAGACCCAGAAACCCTAGCATCCCCAAACATCCTAAACGCATCTCTAGAAAACCCATTCTCCAAAAGCCCCGAAACCGCTGCATTAACACTCGCAATACCTCTCTCAGGCATTTCGTCGAGCACCTTAAGAGCATCCGTCACCTGCTTCACCTTCATATACATACTCACCAAAGCCGTCGCCGTGAACACATCAACAAAAAAACCAGTTTTGACGACATGGGCATGCAGAATCCGACCTTGCACAACATCTCCAAGCTTCGCGCATGATTTAAGAAGAGGCGGGAATGTGAACTTGTTAGGAGAGTGAGACAAAATCACATCCAGCGAAGATCCACCGGTGACGAGATTCAAGACTCGGTGTCTTGTGAGGTTTATCATCTAGAGTGAAGCAAAAAATCGAAACCAAAGAACACATCAAAGCTCCTCCATTGTCGTCGACAACAAACAAAGAACTTTTCCAGTGAAATGAAATCAAAATCGCTCTTTTGATGGTTAAAATCTGGTTAAAACCGGTTTATTTTCGGTTAAGCGCCACTCGCATGACCCTGAGCAAATAATATCTGAAGTCTCTGACTGTACACAGAGAGATAAAAGATATGTTTTGATTAGATCGAAGTTTCTAGAAGATCACACCACTGCGTGCGTTATACGAACTTCCACATCATTTCTTCTTTCGAGGATCGTCGAGCTTTTTGATCGGAGACTTTTATTCTCTCATCATCATCATCGTCGTTTGAATTCTCCGGCCAAGAGATGCTTGCTTGACGAGGAACCTCCACCGATCTTTTGCCTTTTTGAACAACAGTGAGATCTCTTCTGTATGATGATTCATTGCTAGATCTGTAGTTTTAGTTTCTTTGCAGGTGTTATTATCATTCTTTGGATGTTTTTGTGTGAATTGATCCGATGTTAAGAGCTTCGTAGGTTAGAGAGAACCCTGTAGTTTTGTAAAGAAATTGCTTTTCAGATTTTGAAATTGTTGGAGTGTTGCAACCATAATTTAGAACATATTGAAAGTTGGTTTTTGAAATTCTGTAATGGTTGGTTGGTTACTGGGTTTTGATAGAGTAAGAGAAGGATGTCGACTCCAGCGAGGAAGAGATTGATGAGGGATTTCAAGAGGTTGCAGCAAGACCCACCTGCTGGAATTAGTGGTGCTCCACAAGACAACAATATCATGTTGTGGAATGCTGTTATATTCGGGTATTGGAACTATAAGTAAAAAGGGCGAAAATCCCCACCACTCTCCCTGAAAGTAGAAATTGATACTTGATAGGGTTTTAGAGACATTCTATGTTTGCACTGTACTTATTAAATCATTTTGTTTGTGGATTTTCAGGCCTGATGATACCCCTTGGGATGGAGGTAAAGTTTTGTTATTGTAATCACTTATCTTGAGATTTTGGCTCTCTTTCGTATCTGGTCTGATGTCTCTTTTGTATGATCTTGTCAGGTACTTTCAAACTCTCGCTGCAGTTTTCGGAAGATTATCCAAATAAACCACCAACAGTTCGGTTTGTTTCACGGATGTTCCATCCAAATAGTAAGTTAGGGATTACCACATCATCTTTTCTTATTCCGAGTGCTTGTTCTTAACGAAACTTGCACTTGGTCAATGTTGTGCAGTTTATGCTGATGGGAGTATATGCTTGGACATTCTCCAAAACCAATGGAGTCCAATATACGATGTCGCTGCTATACTAACCTCCATTCAGGTACAAATGTCTTTATTAATTTGCTTCTCACGTCATGCTTCTCCATAGAACTGTTGATGATTGTTGTTATTCTGCTTCCTCTCCTGCCCTTTTACTTGTATCTTTGATCTCCATTTTGAAGTTTCGTTCTCGATCTGATTACATTAGTGGCTGAACAAGCTCCCTTTTTTATCAGTCATTGCTCTGTGATCCTAATCCGAATTCTCCTGCAAATTCGGAAGCGGCACGAATGTTCAGTGAAAGCAAGCGCGAGTACAACAGAAGAGTCCGCGAGGTTGTCGAACAAAGCTGGACTGCCGACTAGTAATTATATTTGCTGTAGCATTTGTCTTCAGATAACATTAAACCTCGTCTCTTGTGTTTGATTCCACCAACATGTCGCTCCCACTCTCTTTCATGTCTTTGTGTGTGTTTTCAACTCTGTGATTTGTTTCTTTTGATGTTTCTATGTATGTCCGTAACCACATTCATCTCATAATATTATCATATGTATTTTCAATTCGATCATTCTAGCAGATCTTCTTCCTTTGCTTTTTATTTGATACAAAAGATAACCAAATTAATAGAAAATATGTCATGTAATCCATGAATCTACCTATTGACTTGTTATTTCTATACTTTTTTTTGTCTCTTTATGATCATTTCAGCCATATATTGCCTTCATGGAGGATTGACGATTCCCATTGCTTGTTCTCCATTCTTGTTGCACTTGAATTGTGTACTGCAGATTACACACAACATCTTCTATCGACGGTCGATTGCTCTGATCTTCACAAAGACTCGTAAGCATATGATCCTTCGACAGATGGATCTGCTAAGCTGCTCAATATTAAGGTTCATCTCTTAAACAGTTCTCCAGCTGCAAGAAATAGCATAAAGGTTTCAAAATTATAAGCCATGTTGGATTAACGAAGATTAAATGGTTCTGACTGAAACAGAACAGACCTGAAGCTTTCAAACTTCCCATCTCTGAAGATCCTGCAGCAACTAATTTGCCTGTGATGATCTGCAGTAGTATCACTCCAAACTGGCACACATTTTCTTTCTCTCCTTCTTCATTACTGCAATCAATTCAATAACAAGTTTATATTGAATCTTATGTACTACTGGTGATTTTCCAAGAGTCTCTCAGATAACAAGATTTGATGTTTCCCTTGCACGGAATGTACTACAGAGGGATGTATTTAAAACAAAATTCTTACAGGTATCTCAAGGTTGAAGAAGGCTGCACTACCTAAAGAAATCTGCTTTCAGAAATAAGTTCATCTTCTACAAACAGGATGGTCTTCCGAACAATTACTCTCAGAGGAGCTCCTGCAAGAAGGAAAAAATATGTGATGAAGAAACCACTAAAAATAATGGACTTTTCAGTGTCAAGAGCTATGTCAACCGAAACTGCACCTCCACTAGCTTGATCATCTTCAATACAGATTGCAGCATAATGAGAATCAGCCAACTCCAATAGGCCAAACTTCCATTCTCCATTGCATTTCTTTGTCTTCTCCTGTGAATTGACAGACCTTTTAGATGTCTAGAGAAAACAATTCAAGCGTCTCAACATTCTATCGCTACTGTCTACCTTTTTTTGAAAGCAATGAAAAAGACACTGCAAAGGAAATTTTTAAGTGTACAATGCAACAAGTAATGGCATTTGATAAAAAGCACCTTATTCAATTCCAGAGTGTTATTAAAGTCTAAAACAAACCTTGCAAAGATTGTAGCCTCCTGCTGTTCCGGCCTTGGACTGGATTGTGAAGGTATTAAAAGGTGCAGCAGAGAAACCTTTTCCTAATGCTTTCACATATGCTTCCTGGAAACAGGACCATCACAAGAGTTTTTTTTAACTTTTGAGAAGAAACAATTCCAAGGCTCTATCTGTTGTTAGTAGAAACTACCTTAAGAGTCCATAACTTGATAAATTCCTTTCGCTGAACTTCCGGATTTGGTATAGTTGACAAAAACTTCACTTCATCAGTAGAGTAAAATCTTTCTGCAAGTGCTAAGACATCATGTTTAATCTTCCTTTCCTTGTCTTCAAGATCGATACCAACCTACAGTCATAGTAAACTGCAATTGTTCAAATTCAAAACAAGAAACCATTGGCAAAACTGTATGTATCTGCCTAAAAAGAAGACTTACAGGAACATGTACAGTCACCCCACAGGCAATCAATGAATCTGTGTGGGAGATGTTAAAATGCAACGGTGGGTAATCACAGTTCTTATAATTCTGCCAATCTACCTGTAATTGAAATTTAAACACGTTATAAGCGAAATTTTGCGCTATAAGCCGAGACTATGAGTCTAGTATAATCCCAAATAACAGTCTCACTCTCACCTCAGGCTTCCTATACATGTTCTTCTTGAACATCAAGGTCCTCGGATCGACTACATTGTTTGTCTGATCTAGAAATATAAACATTATAGTTAATGCTCTGCAAACAAAACCTAAGAAGGAAACTCCAAGGGCTAACGTTTGATATTAGATTGGCAGTATAAGAAACAAAATAACATTCATCTTGCAATGGTGGTGCGAACCAATGTGCGAGCTCATGGCCTCGCATACGAAGAACTTTATCATTCTCAGATGGTGACAGAAGTTGAGAGTATTGTTTTAGAAGAGATTTACTTTTCACTTCCTCTGGAACAACATACCATAGATGAGTCTCCCTAAACCATTGAAATCATTGGAAAATGAATGGAAAACAAAATGTAGTTTTGAAGATAAGCTTCAACACTATAAACCAAATAATCCTATAAGCCAATTTGGATCAAGGAACCCTAAAAATTCAAGCTTATTATTGCATTCCTATGACAACAAAACAATGGAGCTACTTACATCCGAGATGGAAGTTGCAGAGGAACCAGTGAAGGCAATTCGATCGAGAAGCTTCGCTGAATTTGTGACATGACACTGGTTCTCATCAGTTCTAAGTATAACACCGATACGTTGGTCGGAAGTTTCTCCGGCGATTTCTTGCCTCACGAGAAGAAGAAGAAGAAGAACATATAAAGTCTCAAATAATTTGGGCCAGGCCCATGGGCCCTACTTTCATATAGGATCGAATTATACGTTTAACCAAAACAAGTCAGCATCGGCGGAGAACCTATGACCGTCGCTGCGGTGGCTTCGACCATGGAACGTGCGTCTGAGAGAGCGAGGTTGCGAGGCTGAGCCCTTTGTGCTGAATTATATGATCTCAATCAACTGTAAAATGCGGTTTGGTCGAGGACGCACGCACGCAAGGTGTTCGACGAAAATCCTCAGTCACGTCAGCTTGGTTTTTGTTACAACGATTTGATATCTATCTGGGTACATGAAAGTCTCTGATGTGAAGGAAGCTGGTGTGTATGTGTTTGCTGTCACCGAGTGTTTGTCATAATCCTGTTACATTGGTTAGTGTTCTGTCTTCTAGTGCCCATCTTGGAGCTCAGAAGATTAGTCAAGAATTAGAGAATCTAGTAAAATCCCATTGTATTCTAGTTGAACCCTATGGTGCTGTTTGGGGAGCTATATATATATATATATTGGGTGTATGTTAATATCCTTAAGAATGTGGATATGGCAGAGTTAGCTTTTGCAAAGGTGATTGAGTTTGAACCCATGAACATTGGCTACTAGTATGTATTGATGTCAAATATATATTCAGACTCGAAAAATCAACAAGGAATCTTGATAATCCGGGTAATGATGAGGAATTCAGAAAAGAGCATGGGTTTAGTTGTGTGGAACACAAGGGAATAGTTCACTAATTTTTTTAGCTGGCGAGTTTATAAAATGCTTACAAAATCCTAAAGAAGTTTGCCTTCAGAAATAAGTCCATCTTTTATGATGTCCCTGCTATACTAACCTCCATTCAGGTATATATATACAGATATGTCATATCAAAATGCTTCAAATGTCAAATTTCTCACTATTGTTGATGATTGTTGTTATTCTACTTCCTCTCCTGCCTTTTTACACAGATGACAGATCTTTGATCTCCATTTTGAATTGTTGTTCTTCATCAGATGACATAAGTGGCTGAACAATATCCCTTTTTTTCTTTCTTATCACAGTCATTGTTCTGTCATCCTAATCCGAATTATCCTGTAAAATTCGGAAGCTGCAAAGCAAGCGCGAGTACAACAGAAGAGTCCGCGATGTTGTCGACCATAGCTGGACTCTGGACTGCAGACTAGTAATAATATTATTGTTGTATCATTAGTCTTTAAAAAGACATTAAGCATCCTCTCTTGTGTTTCACCCACTCTTCTGTGTGTTTTTCGAGCTCTGTGATTTGTTGCTTTTGATGTTTCTCTGTATTTTCGTAACCACATTCATCTTCATAATTATCATATGCATTTCAACTTTCTCTGTATTCACAGATTACTAATTTAGCTAATAGAAGATATGTCTAGTACTCCATGAAATTACAGATTGACTTGTTAACACTTGTCACTGTTTCTACACTTCTGTCTCTCTTTATGATCATTTCATTCATATATTGCCTTCATGGACGATTCATGGTTCCCACTGCTTGGTCTCCATCCTTGCTGCACTTGAATTGTATACTGCAGATTCCACACAACATCTTCTATCGAAGGCCGCTTGCTTTGATCTTCGCAAAGACAGTTGATAGCAAACTCTACTGTCGTCCTCAACGACTCATAAGCATATGACCCATTAACAGATGGATCTGCTAAGCTGCTTAATTCTGATGGTTCATCTCTCAAACCGTTCTCGAGCTGCAGGAAATAACATAGAGGTTCTAAATTTGTAAACCGTGTCGGATTGAAAAAGATGAAAAGGTTCTGACTGAAACAATGCAAACCTGAAGCTTCAAACTTCCCATCTCTGAAGATCCTGCATCAACTACTTTGCCTGTGATGATCTGTAGTAGTATCACTCCAAACTGGTACACATCTTCTTTCTCTCTATCTTCATTACTGCACATAGTTGATTTAACAAGTTTCAGAATTTGATAGAAGAGAACACATTGTATTATACTTTAGAGATAAAACAACAACCTCCAAGGATGTTTGGCTTGAGGGCTCTCTTCTCCAACCTATAAATGCCATGAAATGTTCTTAGATTGATCAATTAAAAGAAGAAAGAAAGAAATTTAGAGGGTTATTGAACGTAGCAATTTAAATGAATTACTCAAAGAGTTTTATACCTTGGTTGGTAAAGGAATAGTATATCCACTAATTTTCACGGTGAGTGTTTCATCAAGCATGATATTCTCTATTTTCAGATTGTTCCCAAAGATCCCTGGTGCTACTCCCATGTGCAAGAACTGTATCCCTCGAGCGACTCCTATGGCTATCGCCATTCTCTGAGGCCATTTCAGTACTTCTTTCTTCCTAGAGTCTGATTTCAAAATTCCTATAATGAATAAGCATTTGAATCTATGGAAACCTGAATATTTTTTCTGTCGTTTTCAGGTTATTACTTGTAAGAAAGTCCCGCAATGATCCACTAGAGATGTATTCTTGGACAATGAAGATGGTGTTTCCAGCGTGTTGATTGTGGTCTTGGTTACTGGCAATGCAGTGTCCAAGAACGCTAACCAAATGCATATGCCTTAGCTTCGACAAAACTTCCATCTGTTGAGTTAAGCTTTGTGGCAAACTCTTCTGCTTCAGCTTGATACATCGCACTGTTACTGGTATACCTTCTCTGAGACAACCTTTGTACAGCTGTTCGAATACCAAATATATGAATCAATCTGGTCACTAGAGACTCAAGTCATGTAATTTATTTTTTTACCTGTTCGCAGAAAAGACTTGCTGCATCAAAGTCGTTAGTCGCTTCTTCCAGTTCCTCCAAGGAGAAGACGCGGTACGGTGGCAAACCAATCACTGCAGATCTCATTGTCTGTGGTACACGTCCTACACTCAGTAAGATCCTGTTAATGGTTTTTGCTAGAAAAAAAGTCAGTTTCAAGATTTCAAAGTAATACTAAGTCATTGTTTACTTGAGTCTGGTAATGACTTAGAGCTGGCGGTTGTGGTGCTGCAAACTGAGACTTTATCAGAGGCATGTCTCTCATTGTTGTTGTTGTTGTTTACTTCAAAAGGATCATCTTCTGATCTTGATCTTCTTCTTTTCAGGACAATCAAAACCAACAGAACCAAAATTGCTGCAAGGATGATCACACCGATGATTATCAGAATCACTAAACCGAGTTTGATTCTTGCAGAATCTTTCTCTTTAACCTTGTGGACAGGTTCCACAGCTATTGCTTTGCTTGCTTGGTTTTGACAGAAAGAAAGCGGACGCTGATACTTCGCGTTAGGAGTGCCAACCAAAGACAAGCAATTGAATGAGAAAAGCACTGTCTGATTTCTGAAACTCTTTGAAGTGTAGCAAGAAGGAAGTTTTCCGGTTAAAAGATTGTGAGAAACGTCTAAAGTTATAATCTTTGAGGAGCTGCAAGAAGAATTTGGAAGTGACCCGCTTAACAGATTCTGGTCCAAACTGAGAATTTGAAGAGAAGGAAGCGAAAACAGAAACTCTGGAATCGACCCGGTGAATTCGTTGGAAGAAAGGTCTAAACTTTGTAGCTTATTCCACTTCTTGATATGTTCTGGAATCCTGGATCTAAAGGAGTTGTTCTTCAATGAAACAGTGATGAGGTTACTTGGTAGTGAAGGAACTTTAGGACCGAGTTTATTACCTCCCAAATCCAGCTCTTGAAGATTCGACAATCCTCTGAGATCATCAGAGACAAAACCCCAGAACATATTGTCTGTTAAAACAAGGCTTTTCAGATTCTTCAAAGACACAATCTCTTCTGGGATCTTCCCGGAGATGAAATTAGAGCTTAGATTGAGAGATACAAGAGAAGGTGATAACTTGGTGATGATCTTAGGAGAGAGAGAACCAGAAATTCCAAGAGAGGTAAGAGACAAAGTGTTTAAGCTTGATAGTTGTGTAAGAAGAGTAAAGAGTTTATGAAAACTTCCAGAGAGCTTACTGGTTCTGTTCCCGGTGACAGTTAACTCTGTTACGTGACCATTGAAGCAGATGATTGTTAAGGAAGAAGAAGGACGAATGTGGCAGAAATTGGTTGTATCATTCCATGATTGAAGAACCTGTGGATACTGTAGTTGCTTCTGGATTTCAAGAAGAGTTTGTGATTCACTTGAAGTTAGCTGAGAGTCTGTGAGTAGTGGAAGAAGAAGAAGAAGAAGAAGGAAAGTGAAGGAAAATACATGAATTTGGAGAGACTTCTGCATTTTCTTGAGAAAATTTAGAGTATTAAAGATGTGTTTTTGGCTTTAGAGAAACAGAGACTCATTGAAAGGTGTCATTTTTTGTGGAAACAGAGACAGATCTATTGGGAAAGTGAAGGGAAAACTTTGGATCAGGAGATGAAGAAGAGAGCTATAAATTTTTGGGTAAATTTTCTTTAAGATTTTCATGGGAAACATAAAAGAAAGATTGAAATAAAGCCAATTAAGGTGGAGGCAATAAATGCAATCTTAAGTTCTTAAACTTTTATATTTTTTGTTTGGTTGTTTGTTCATTACTGCACATTGCACTGCCTCAACTTGACAGACTGTTTTTAATGAATCCAAGAACATGAGATTTTAAATTTTATTTTAATCTAATTATTGTAACAATAAGAACTTATATTCACATTATTTTCATAGTGTTAGAATTAATTTAGCTCAACTTGTTAATTACTAATTATGAAGTGAGAAGACTCAAGCAAAATGTCAAAGAATTGATACTAAATCAAATGTTTGTTTTGTTCATGTAATAAGTAAATTCCCTAACTCATATGGTTAACTATAATTAGTACACTTAAACTCTAAGATCATACACAGTGGTATATGTTTTGGTGGGGTGTGAGTATTATTAAAAAGAAAAATAATAGAATAGTGTAATACATGGATGTGAGATAACACTTGGGTGTGGGTATTATTTTGATGTTTTATGTTTCATCTATCTCTTTTTCTCTCCTCTCTCTTTCTCCACTAACCAAATCTCTTTCTCTTAAAAAAATTATAATAAATATATTGTTAACACAGACCCACATGCACCCATTGGGGATGCTCTAATGGAAGAACATTTTTGGTTCATATATTGATTAAACAAGTGATTTGTTTTCTTACTTGTCAGTGATAGATAATGAGATTAAGAAATATATGTCGTGTTTTGTCCTCGAGAAGCCATTACGTTTTGTGTCTTTTCTTTAAAAGTGTGATAGAGATTCTACCAAATGTCGAGCTGTTTCTTTTGTTCTGATGAACTGTTCATTTACTTTCTTTCATTTTTTTTTGGGTACAATTTCTACTTTTATTAATGATACTAGTGTTAGAAAAAAATTATGGATTTTATATGATCAAGATTCAAGCACATGCAACGGCCTTGGAATAATCGTCACTGCGAAAGTATCATTTAATATTTCCCTCAACAGCCATTTATTTTTTATCGAAAAAATGCATTTAAATTTTTTTCCCGATTTTTCTTTTCTAAATTCCAAAGTCTCTGAACTACTGTATTTTGATTTTTACTAAAATAAAATTAAATACTACTTGAGAAAACAGGTTATTTTGGGCTTCTACGCTTTTCATTCGTATAACTTTTAGCCCCTCTACTATGTAATACGGTTAGGCCCAAAATATACCAACTTTTTAGTCCATCCTCCGTACTCGTTCCATTTTTAATAATTGTCGTTTTAACTATATACACAAATTAAAAAATTATTAATATTGTTAGTTTTTCAATATAAAAATATCATTAATTATCTACCTAAACATAATTTAACCAATAGTAAATCAAGTTGCATAGTAAAAATAAATATAAAAAATAAAAAAGTAATAAATTTTACATCGAAAACTGAAAACGACAACTAATTAAAAACAAAAAAATTTCTCTAAAACGACAACTATTCGAAAACAGAGGGAGTATATTTCAAGATATTTTAACTTATAAATGATTTTTTTTTGGCAAGTTATACAAATTGCCTGACAAAATGTTTTGCAGCTAAACGAAAAAGACACCATCACATAGTTTACACATACAGACTTAAAAAAAACTTCGTTAGCTACATAAAATATTACCATCACATACAAATATCTCTAAACTAACATAAGTCATATTGCAAACTGTATAACCATCCACTTTCAGTGCTCTAGTTGCTAGAATCTAGCTAGGCCCGGACATAATGTCTGAACCCGAAGAACCAAACCGAACCAGGCATGAAAAACCCGACCCGAATCCGAACCCGAAGTTTTAAAATACCCGAACGGATTCTAAACTTCACAACCCGAAAACTCGAACCCGAACCCGAACCCAACCTGAACCTGAACCCGAACAAGTATCCGAACATATCCAAAATATAAATCCATAGATATA